ATTGTACCCATTTTTTCCATACCCATTTCGGGCGTCCAAATCCTTCGCCCACTGCCGCTGCCCCTCGCCTCCCATCGTTCCTCTTTCCCCCGGGGCTCCCCGTTTCCGCGGGCCTGCTTCCTGGAATCGGGACTTGTTGGCCCCTTCCGTCTTCGAGCCGGGGGGTTGGCATCAATGGTTTCAGGGGCAGTGCTGTCTCTCCCGCACGAGTCTGAGTCTCCTCCTGCTTTGGCCAACTTGTTTCCGATTGTTGAATCCTGTGGAGTGTGAGAACATGTGAGACATTCGTTTGGACTGCTTCAGAAAAGACAGCGCTATGTGCAACTACGCATATTCTTCATCGATTTGAGTTTCGGCGAACGCGTCCCAAGGGGTGCCCCGGAGGCGTTTTGCTTTCATCGTTTTAGTCCAGCCATGCCAGGGCCAGGCTGCGGGCAGAGCCGGGGTCAGGACAGGGTTGGGCTATCCAGGGCTTGGCCTGGGGGCTGGGCCGAGCTTGGCCTGGGCCTGGGCTACGAAGGTCGGTCGGGCCACGGCCGGGTCTGGACCGGGCATGGGCCGGCATCGGGCGGGGACCGGCCATTGTTGAAGCCGAGCTGGCGTTGTGCACGGGCTGGAATTGGACCAGAGGCTGGGGCTGTTGCTTTATGCCCTCTTGTGCGAGCGACCACCCCGTCACAATCCCCGTATCCATCCTCATATTCGATCGATGATTATCAGGACGTGTGTTAGCCAAATATGAATTTGCCCCGTTCAGCTGTGTCGTCCTTCACCTCAGTACAACATTTGCGTCGTATCGAAGAGCTACGGCGGACAAACACACGTTGGCGCAAGTTCTGAGGATCATATCTCCAAGTTTTCTTTCGCGAGAGCGCCTCGCGCGCTCGCGCGGGAGGGTGGTGGTATGTTCCGCTTGCGCGAGGTACTCACGTCGGCTCTTGGCAGGGGGAGAGTACGTTCTTTGCGCTCCCCGGAATAGTTGTATTGCAGAACTGATTGGTTGGCTCAGCGAAATTCCCTTCATTTCGTAGCCTGTTTATTTTCAAGCGTGTTCCTGCAACATAATGACATGTTTCTTCATGTCTTTCAAACGGTAGCTCAATAATGAGGGGCCCATAAGCACGCACATCATCATTCGCGGTCGCATGCGTGAGCGACGCAGTCACCATCGCCGCGATCAGTTCGATCATCGAAGGCGCCTTGCGAACCCATCCTCCACATCGCCTGTGCCGTCGTCGTCACGTTCATTGTCCTCGTCAGCCGCGCCATCCGCCAATTATCTTATGCATTCCAGTGACTCAGTCGTCTTTTCATAACGACATGACCAAAGTGTCGAACTGCGCTTTCCCGGCTTACTTGTACTTCCTTGGCAGGTTCTGAGTTAGAGTCTTGGTTTTTGGCGTGGTTGCGCCCCTGTGGGTGGGACGCGCGGAACGCTTCTTTGCATTGGAACGCGCGGGTGGCCGCGGTCAATTCTTGTAGCTCCAATCCCCAGGTACGGCTCCGCCCCCCGCAGTTTGTGGACACCTTGAAGTGCGGGCATGGTCCTCCCCCGGGCCCCTCGTCTGCCGCACCCCTCGCATCTTCCCCTTTCCGCACACCTCCTCTGCCCCTTCCTCCGCTTTCGCCTGCCCCGCCCCCTGGTTTCCCTTCCCCCCTCCCTTCCCCCCTCTTCTCTGCACCGCCCTGCTGGTCTCCCTCGGTCTCCTGCCCCCTGGTGTTGCCGTTTTGTCCCTTGCCCAGGAGGCGTTGCGGCCCCTGTTCGAGTCGCTGCCGAAGAGCGAGGAGAGCCCCCCGTGGAGCGGAGTAGATTACTGGGAGGAGGAAGGATTGAGGCAGAGAGGACGGGGAGCGGGTGGGCTCGGGGAGAGGTTGTGATTGCCATGGGAGGATTAAGGCGTACAGGGAGGGCGAGGGTCAGGAAGGGTCGTCAAGTTCTGACTTTGCGCGCGTGTGAGTGTGTGTGTGTATGTGTGTGTTCTTGTTTCGCACATATCAGCGGAGGGAGGGGTCTACTTCACATGTGCGACCGCGTGCACTTTTGTAGAATCAGATGCCTGTACACTCGGTATATGGGTGTATCCGCGTGGACAGAAACATTAGCAATGATGTGTGTGTGCATGTACGCTTGTATTCGTGTAGATATATGTATATACACGTACGTGTGAATGCATATATGTATGTATGTGCGTATGTATGTAGGTATGCATATATGCATACATGTATGTGTGCATGCAGACATGCGTGCATGTATGCATGTGTGCACGTATGCACGCATGCATGCACACACGCAGGTATGCATGTGCATACACACATATAGATGTATATATACATTAATGCAGGTATACATGTATGCATGTATGCGTGCATTCATGTATGTATGTACGTGTGTATGCTTGTACTCATGGATTCCTGTATGCGTGCCTTGATGCTTGTATGTTCGCTTGTAGGCATATAGGTAGTTATGTGTCTGCCTGTCAGCATGCATGAGTGCATATATGCAGGTATGTATGTATGTGTGTATGTAGGTAGGCATGCATGTATGTATGTAAGCATGTGTGCTTGTGTGCATGCATGTATGCATGTATGCATGCATGTGCATATGTATACATATATATAGTTGTATGTACGTGTATAGGTGTATGTATGCATGCATGTATGTCTGTGCACTATGCGTATGTGTACATGTGTGTATGCATGTATGTATGCATGTATGTATGTATGTATGTATGTCTGTCTGTCTGTATGTATGTATGTATGTATGAATGGTATGTATGGCCTGTTTGGGTTATGCGTGTATGTTGTATACATGGATGTATGTATGACTGTATGTTTGTATGCAGACATGCGTGCGTTTATGTATGTAGGTATGTACACATGTCTGTATGTATGCATGCATGCATGCACGTGGGTACGTGTGCATGCATGTTGGTATGCACTCCTACATTCAAAGGTATGTGGAAGAGCGCGCTGTGGGAGTCGCGAAGAACAAAAGTGGGGGCCAGCTTTCACCAGGGGAGGGGTGCTTCCGAAGCTACCACTCCCCTGGGGAACTGAAGGGTAGGGCTGGCGCACACGCCCGCCAAGATTTGCTTCTGGCTTACGGCTGCGGCGATGCGGCGCAGAACAGGCATTGGTGAGTGTAGCCCCTCGCTTCAAGGACGGCCTTGGCCGTTCGCCTTGAGGTAAGGGGAGGCAGAGGAGGAGGAGGAGGAGGAGGAGGAGGAGGAGGAGGAGGAGGAGGAGGAGGAGGAGGGAGGGGTAGGACGAGAATGTGGGCGGCGTCGACAACCACAACGATGCTCACGAAGACGTCAACGAGGATTCGTCCGTGCCCCGCGGCAGAGGCGGGCCTCGTCGGCGTCGGGGCCGCGCGCTACGCGCTGCACCGCACCTTCGTGCAGCTGCACGCCTGGCAGGTGAAGGGCCTCGAGCCCACAGGCCCACCGGCGTCGTCGTCGCCGCCGCCGGCGCCGCCGTGGTCGCTGTCTCTCGGTCGGCCTCGGCGTGCACCGTCGAGCGATCGGAGGCAGCGCGGAGGCGTTTGCACGCCTGGCTTTCAGTCGGGCCTGTCCCTCTACAGGGGGAATGTTCAGAAACAGTCCAAAAATAGTCCGGGGACGATTTTTTGATTTTTGAAGTATTTTGGGGCATTTTCTGAGCATGTTCTATGTTTCGTCCAAAATCCCCCTGTAGGGGGACAGGCCCGACTCAAGCCTGGCTGCGCAACGCACTGCGCAGCTCCCAAAGGCCCTGGACTGAGCCCTTGGAAGGGGTCGAGCGCCGCGGCTGCCCGCGTGCTCGCGCCCGCCCGTCAGAGAAGCGCCGTCGATCGAGAAGCTGCAGGGTCTCACACGCGTTCGTCGCAGCGGTCGCGCCGCTTTCCAGGAGATGTCGAGGTGTCGGTTCCCTTCGCCATCGTCGCTGTCGTGGTTTGGGCATGCTCTTCAGGTGTTTTGGCGTTTGAGGGCCCGTTCCGTATCTTGGGACATGCACAAGTCGATCTGGCTCACAGCAGCTGCCCAGGGGCGGCACCCGGGAGGGCCTACAGGTCCCCAGGGGTGAGGGCTGGGGCAGGCGGGAGGAGGACGGTTTCTTCGTGTTCTCCTCCGCTGAGGCTTTGCTGCGTTTTTCGTCAGTGCTTCATGTGTTCCTCCTCTGCATGCGTTCGAACATCATGATGCTTACACATGAATCGAGTTGCTTACTTTGGGCTACAGTGCGATCGCAATGAGGTATCCAGTCCGCTAGGGCACGGGCATGGTTATGTTCGGCGCTCGTGAGCGGTCGTCGTCGTTATCCTGCTCCTCCTGACTCCTGATTCATTGGCTTACGTCGCACCGCCGATCCGTCGGGGAGCTCTGGGGGCCTCTTTCCCAGGGGGGCGGTGTCAGAGAAGCGTCTTGGCGACACATCTGCAGTTGGGACGCTGTCAGAGAAGCGTCTTGGCGACATGTCTGCATATGGGACGCCCCACGCCGTGCGCAGATGGTCCCTGTTGGGGTCCCTGTTGGGGTCGTTTTGTGGCCTCTTGACTCGGGCATTGAGGGAGTACCCCCCCCAGACAAGTCGACTGAGGAACTCTGCGCTGGTTCACTCGACATTGGCCTTCGAATGTGCCGGTGCAGTGCGCAGTCGGTTTCGCTAATCGACGTAACGTGGGTCAGCAATCCCGCTGGGGCCCACTGGGAAGGCGGTGCCGTGCGCACGTGGAGTGCCCCCGACAGCTTTCCTTTGAGGCCGTTTTGTTGAGGGGGGGCCTCTTCGGGGGCCTCGAGGAGCCCCATTGGGGGGACCTCGGGGCCGCCATGGGGCTCTCTTGGGAGCAGTACAGTCGGGGCCCTGAAGAAGGAACCCTTTTTGTTGGGGAGGGGCTCCGCGTTCCTTAAGTGTTTCGCAGCTTGCCTCAGGTTCTCCTTATGCTTTCGATCGGAAAACGAAGTTTAACTTATGGAAGAAAGGGGCCTCGTTCCTTATTTTGGGTTCCTTAGGTCAAGGCCCCGACTGTATGAGCTTGGGGGCCATCTTCTTGGGGCCCCTTGCCCCGGCGGCGGGGGGCCGTTTCTCTCTCCACGCTGGCCAGAACGGGCTCCCCGGAAACGGGGGGGGGCAAGCATCTCACACGCCGAGGTAAACCCCATGGGCCCATGGGGCTTGTAAGCGCTGGAACGTCAGAGTGAGTGGGCCGAACGGCCATTCACTGTCCCTGGGTGCGTGGCTGAAGTGGGGTTCCGCGGTGGAGACTGTTGTTGCGTTGTTGTTCGTTGTTGTCTGCTGTTGAACTCACTACTGAAGAATAGTTATTGTTGATCCTCCCTCTGGTGACCATTCTATGTTTTCAATTGAAGTGCTTCCCCGGGGGCTCGCACCCTGTTTTTTTGATCCGGAAAAATCACTAGGCTCAAACTGGGACCCTGGCCGCCGGTCTACAACAACAACGGCTCCCGTCTGACATGTCCTCACAATTTATTCCCAAATCGCACTCTCGCGCGGGACTTCCTTATTGTTTGTATACGAATCGCACTCTCGCGTGGGATTTCCTCAGGAATTTCGTTATCGTTTTGGCTTCTCTCACGATTTACTTGGGAATCGCGCTGTCGCTCGAGACCTCCTCGCGATTCATGCAGGATCCACGCTTCAGCAACTCGCCTGCTCGACCTGGTCGCCTGGGCCCTCCCGACTTGCCCGCTATGGGTCTGCCCACCCGATCTGCCCGTCTGGTTCTACCACTCGTTTTCTGCTCATTGCCCCCCTCCCGCTACTTTCTCTCGTGCTCCATTATTATCCCTCTACCTTCCACCTGTCTTCTCTTCCCTTGTTTCAGGGTCTGCACTAAATGCACGCGGCAGGTATGGAAGATTTACCCCCAAGGGGATACGATCGAAGACGACGAGGGCGGGTACCGCGGGTTGGGGATATACGTATTGTTTGGCATGTGAGCGGATAGGAGCGAGCAGTCTTAACATGAGTGTTTTTGTTGTTGTTGTTGTTGCTGTTGCTGCTGCTGTTGCTGCTGTTGTTGTCGTTGCTGCTGTTGTTGTTGAAGTTGGAATCCCACTACTGAATAATAAGCAGTGTTGATCCCCCCCTCCGGTGACCATTGTGTTTTCCAATTTAAATATTTCCCCTGCACCCCGTTTGTTCCTCAGGGAAAGTCACAGGGGTCAAATTGCGCCCCTTGGAGTCGCGCTCTCGCTAGAGAATTGCTTGCACATGATTCAAGAATCGCACTCTTGCGTTGGAATTCCCCGCAATTTACTCAAGCGCCGCGCTCCCGACACTCGGGCACCCAGAAGTCGCGCTCACGCCTAGGACACCCTCACATCTTATTTAGATAACGGGATCTCGCTGCCCTTCGTGGCCCCGTTGCAGCCCTTCGTGGTCCCCCTCTCTGCCCTTCGTGGCCCCGTTGCAGCCCTTCGTGGCCCCCTCGCTGCCCTTCTTGGCCCCGTTGCAGCCCTTCGTGGCCCCGTTGCAGCCCTTCGTAGCCCCGTTGCAGCCCTTTGTGGCCCTCTCGCTGCCCTTGGTTGCACCCTCGCTGCCCTTCGTGGCCCCGTTGCAGCCCTTCGCAGCCCCGTTGCGGCCCTTCATGGCCCCCTCGCTGCCTTTCGTGGCGCCTTCGCTGCCCTTCGTGGCCCCGTTGCATCCCTTCGTGGTCCCCCTCGCTGCCCTTCGTGGCCCCGTTGTAGCCCTTCGTGGCCCCCTCGCTGCCCTTCGTGGCCCCGTTGCAACCCTTCGTGGTCCCCTCGCTGCCCTTCGTGGCCCTGTTGCTTCGTGGCACCCTCGCTGCCTTTCGTGGCCCCGTTGCAAATCGCGCTGTCGCTCGAGACATCCCCGCGATTCATGCAGAACGCACGCTTCAGCAGCCCGCTTGCTCGACCTGGCCGCCTGGGCCCTCCTTCCCGACCCGCCCGTTAGGGCCTATCCGCCCGATCTGCCCGTCTGGTTCTGCCACTTGCTCTCTGCTCCTAGCCCCCCTTCTGCTACTCTCTCTCGTGTTGCATCCTCCTCCTTGCCCCTTGTCTCTTCCTTCCATCCGTACTCCCGTCCCCTGCTTCAGGGGCTGCACGCAATACACATTGCAGATACGGATGATATACCCCCAAGGGTGTACGATCGAAGACGGCAGGACGTTCTGAATGACACTCGAACGTATAAACACGATCACTCTGAACAGGATTGTGATGGTTGATGTTGTTGTTGCTGCTGCTGTTGTTGTAGAACTCACACTACTGAAGAACAATTGTTCTGCGGTGACCATCATGTTTTTCAATTGAAAAGCTTTCCCTGGGGCTCGCACCCTGTTTTTTATTACGGAAGGTCACTCGGGTCAAGTTGCGTTGTTGGCCCCTGAACTACAACAGCAACGGTCCTGACTTATATTTCCTCACAATGTATTATTTAATCGCTTCGCTCATTCCGCCGGCCCATACAGTCTCATGTCTGCCGTTTGCCCGCGGGCCTGGTGTCAATGCGGCGCTTTGGGGGTTCCTGGGGCCGCTTGGGGGACTCCTGGGGCGCTCGGGGGGGCATTTGGGGGGCCTCCTGGGGCCGCTTGGGGGACTCTTGGGGGCCTCCTGAGGGCCTCGTGGGGGCCTCTTGGGGCCTCTTAGGGGCCTCTTGGGGCCTCGTAGGGGCTTCTTAGGGCCGAGGGCTCGAAATGTTGTTTCGTGTTCCCTCTCTGGGGCCCCTTTGGGGGCGTTCTTGGGGCCCTCTTGGACCGTCTTGGAGGCTTCTTGGGCCGTCTTCGAGCCCTCTTGGGCCATCTTGGGGCCCTCTTGGGGGCCTCTTGGGCCCTCTTGGGGCGATCTTGGGGGCCTCTGGGGCCGTCTTGGGGCGTCGGGAAGCCGAAAAGGTGGAAGCTCCAACATCTCTCAAAAACCTAAGGAAAAACAATGAATTTTGCCTCCGGGGGCCCTCTTGGGAGTGCTCTTGGAGGCCTCTTGGGGCGTCTGGGGGCTATCTTGGGCGTCTTGGAGCGATCTTGTGGCATGTCGGACCCCTCGTGTACCATCTTGGGGGCCTCTTGGGGGCCTCTTGGCCTTTCTTGGGGCTCTCGGGGACGTCTCGGAGCCCTGTTGGTGCGCTCATGGAGCGCTCCTGGAGCGCTCTGGGGGAGTCTCCCGGGGATCGGTCGGGGATCGCCTGGGGTACTTTTCGTCCGGGGACCCCCAGGGGCCGCCCCGCGCGCGCGAACTAGAGAATTGTTAACCAGTTACCGGAGATCTTAGCACGCCTCTGGCCCGTTGGGCCGGCGAATTAATCGCGCTCTCTCGCGGGACTTCTTCACACTGTATTGAGGCATGGCGCTCTCGCGTGGAATTTCCTCGCAATGTATTCAGACGCCGCGCCCTCGACGTTCAGGAGTCACGCTCTCGCCGTGGATTTCCTCACGTTGAGTAGGGAATCGAGCTGTCGCTCGAGACCTCCTCGCGATTCGTGCAGGACGCACGCTTGAGCAACCCGCCTGCTCGACCTTGCCGCTTGGGCCCTCCTTCCCGACCCGCCTGGTAGGGTCTACCCGCCCGTTCTGCCCGTCTGGTTCTGCCGCGTGTTTTCTGCTCCTAGCCCGTGCTCGATCCTTCTTCCCCCCCTCGTCCTTCCTTCCATCCGTCCTCTTGTCCCCTGCCTCAGGGGCTGCGCCGAAATAAACGTTGCAGGTAAGAAAAATAGACTCCCAAGGAGGTACGGTCGAGGACAAAGAGGGCGGGTATCGAGGGTTCGTTATCTACGTGTAGAATGGCACGCGAGCAGAAACGAGCGAACAGTCTTAACATGATTGTTGTTGTCGTCGTCGTTGTCGTCGTCGTCGTCTTGTCCCAGTCGCGACCCCGCCCGCGACCCGCCCGCGACCGCCTGCGACCCATCCGCCACCCACCCGCGACCCACCCGCGACCCGCCCGCGACCCAACGCGCCTCGGCCCCCTCGCTCTTGTCCGCATCTGTGGGGTGCTGCATCGTATGTTTCAGGAAGTTTCGCCCAGTTCTGAAGCGAGCGGGCACGCCTTGAGTACCATTGCTTCGGCCGCCCTGCGCAGTGTGCGCCACTTGCGCTGCGACTGCCTGCTGCTCTCCCTGCCTGAGGGGCGCTCCGCGAGCCCGTCGGCGAGGAGGGTGAGAGGCGACTGACGCCACTGGGGCTGGCGTTGGCCGCGCGCGGGGCTGGCCGGTGGATTGGCGTCGGTCGCATCGCGGTGTGGACGCCGGCGCGCGACTGCACAGTGCGATGTCTGTCTGTCTGGGGCCCGTTTTTTTGTTTTTTCCCTTGGTGATGCAGTCAACCCGCGGTAGTAAGGACGGGCAGCCTTCCCAAGGGTACCCTTTGTGTCCTTGCCTCCTCGGCCCCTCCTTGGCCACTTTCGTTGGCCGCGCCCTGCTCGAGAAGCTTCGAAATGCGCATCCAAGGCCCTTGCATCCTTATCGCGCATCCTTACAATACGGGTTGATTGTAACGGCCGTAATGGGGGGGAGAAAGGAGAGGGGCGACGTGGCCGGTGACGTCATGATTCGCGCCGGCGCCGTCTGGGAATTAGTTGCCCCTAGTAATTCGAAACGGCTCTGGCGCGAACCGTAACATTGCTTTCGGTTGAATTTCCTGGGAGGTCAAATTCTGATTTTGCCCTGGTCCGAAATCCAGCTTAATCCGGCTTAATCCCGGTTGATCCGGCTGAATCCCGAGGCCCTTTCCGGCTTAATAGCCCCCCAAATGGGGCTTAATCCTCTTTCATCCTTCCGACGAAAACCTCCCAGTAGTTGCCTCCTATGCTACCAGGTCGGGTCCCCATTAACGGCCGTTGCCGCGAATCGTGACAACAATGCGTTCTTGTATGTCTGTCTGTCTGTCTCGTCCTCGCGAAGCCCTCGGCACAGGCACGTCCTGGGACCTCGTGTCCCCTGCGGAGGCGCTGGGCGCTGCGCCAGAGCAGGTGCGCGGAATCTTCGAGGCGAAGCCCGCCGTCGTCGTTTTGGTCGTCGTCGTCATCGTGGTCTTCGTCATCGTCGTCGTTGTCGTCGTGGTAGTCGTCGTCGGCCTCGTGGTCGTCGTCGTCATCGTCGTCGTCGTCGGTGTCGGCGTCGTCGTCGGCGACGTCGTCGTTGTCGTTGTCGTCGTTGCCGTCGTTCGAGGTTCGAGGACCGACAGGTTGGGTGCATTTCGTCGCCACGGGTCGATTCGCTTCGATCGTCGCCGTCGTCACCATGGTAGTCGTCGTGACCCCAGCAGAGGTCAGTGGTCGATCGTCGCCGTCGTCCTCGTGGTAGTCGTCGCGGGGAGGAGCAAGGAGGAGGCAGTGAGAGGGACGAGGGAGATGGAGGAGCGAGTTCTGGCAGAAGTCTCGAGGAAGATACAGGGGGTCCCGGGAGCGCCGAGGGGGCATCCGCTGGGGGGACGACGAAGGGGGGGCGGGGGGCCCGAAGGGGGGGAGGCAGTTGGGTGCGGATTGGAGGGAAGGAGGGGGAGATCAGGAGCGAAAGAAGGACGTACATGTACATGAATCCACGCTAGTTTCGAGAATACGCATTGCCCGAAAGTTCGTATGACGCGGCTGGTCTCGCAGATCGAGGGGCCGTGTTCATGTACATAGCTGGGGCGTACGTCCTTGGTGGGCTCCCTAGGAGAGGGAGACCAGGGGGCAGGCCTTCGGGGGTTCTGGGGGGAAGGGGGGGTCGGAGGATTGGTCCGGGTTTTTCGATGGTTGTTCAGGGGTGCCGGGTGCTTTCTTCCCGGGGTCGGAGCGGCGAGCAGGAGAATGAGGGTGCAGAAGGAGGATGAGATGAGGGACTTCGACGGCGATGACGATTTTGAAGACTGGTATGGTGTCGTTGATGAGACGGGTGCCTGAGTGGTCAATGGCGACGACGATGGCGGTGATGATGCTGGTGGTGGTGATCCTGCTCGCCCAACGGTGCCGCAATCCAATCGGCAGTTGAGCGCCCGCGAAGGCTGCGCAGCCCTCCGCTCACGGGCGGGCCAGGAGTCGAAGCAGGGGGGAGTTGCTTGCAGGTGTCCGCGCTTTGAATCAGGGTCGCTTGATCAACTCTGCGATTTCGTTTGGAGACGGCTGTGGCTGACCATGCAGGGCGGGCCAGGAGTCGAAGCAGGGGGGGTTGCTTGCAGGTGTCCGCGCTTTGAATCAGGGTCGCTTGAGTCGACTTTGTGACTTCGTTTGGAGGCGGTTGTGGTTGACCAGTGCGGCAGAGGCGAAGGGAGAGTAGAGCCATTAGGAAGATGCTGGGGACGATGAGCATGAGGGGACGGGACGGGGGATGAGGAGAAATTGACAGGGGACCGAGGACGGGGAGTGACGATAATGAAGGACATGAGGGGTCGGAGGATAATGATTATGAGGAGGAGGAGGAGGAGGAGGAGGAGGAGGAGGAGACGCAGGATGACATATCCGATATGATTGCGGTGATTCTGATGTGGACATTGTTGATAATGGTGGTGGTGAGTGGTGACTGTTGACGATGATGATGCTGCTGATGATGATGCTGATGCTGATGATGCTGATCATGATGATGATGCTGATGATGATGATGCTGGTGGTGATGCTGCTGCTGCTGCTGATGGTGATGATGTTGCTGATGATGATGATGCCGACGATGCTGATTATGATGGTACTATGGTGATGACGGTAATGATGACGATGACGATGATGATGATGATGATGATGGTCATGTTGATGTTGATGATGACAATGAATAATACGCTGATCATGAAGAACTGATACTGATGATGATACTGATGGCGGTGCTGATGACGATTCTGATGTGATGACGATGGTTGTGATGGTGATGGTGAAGCTGATGATGATGCTGATGGCGAAGACGACACCGATGGTGATCGTATGATGAGTTTGATGATGCTGAAGCTGCTGATGATGATTATTGTTCTGCTCATGGGGATGCTGCTGATGATGATATTGATGATACTGATGATGATGGTGATGGAGATGATGATGTTATGATGACGATTCTGATGATGGTGATGGTGATGGTGATGACAGTGACGATGGTATGATGATGCTGATGATGACGATGATGATGATGGTGGTGGTGTTGATGATTATGATGGTGGTGGTGATGATGATCATTATGATGGTGGGGGATACTGATGACGATGATGCTGATCGTGATGGTGGTGATGATAATGATGGTGATGATGATGACGACGATGATGATGAAGCTGGTGATGATGATGGTGATGATGGTGATGGTGACGGTGATGGTGATGATGATGGTGATGGTGGTGATTAAGATATTGATGACAACGATTATGATATTGATGATAACAATGATGATGATACTTATGATGCTGATGCTGATGTTCATCCTGACGATGGTGAATATGATGATCATGATGATGATGATGATGATCATCATCACCATGATGATGATGGTGAGGATGATGATGCTAGTGAGGATGATGATGGTGAAGATGGTGGTGAGGATGAGTATGATGATGATGACGATTATGATGCTGATGATGATGATGATGATGATGATGAGGATGATGACGATGACGATGACGATGACGATGATGATGAAGATGACGATGACGATGACGATGACGATGGTGATGACGGTGGCGATGATGGTGATGGTGATGGTGACGACGGCGATGATGGTGATGGTGATGATGATCATGACGATGATGGTGATGATGATGATGCTGATGATGCTGCTGATGATGATGAGGAGGATGATGATGATGATGGTAAGGAGGAGGAGGAGGAGGAGGAGGAGGAGGAGGAGGAGTAAGAAACTTGAGTTACATCGTACTCCCCAGACGCCAGGATCATGTTTGGGAGCCATCCCATACCCATGCCTGTGCCAAGCACCCCCGCCGCTCGCTCGATCCATGCAAGCACACATTCATGTAGGCAGGCGGACAGACAGCGAGAGAGAGAGAGAGAGAGCAGGGAGCAGGGAGCAGGGAGCGACGACCTTCCGTGTACCGTGGCGCGCTTCTGGCCGACGCGCGCCCGCGCGCGAGGGCGTTGCCCAGTGCCCGCCCGGCCGAGCGGCGCGCAGGAGCGCGGCCGCCAGAGGCCACAGTGCGCGGCCGCGCCCCAGTTCCCCGCGGTGGCGCGCGCGTGCAGCGCGCCCTCATCGTTTTGGAAAGGCTCATGGCAGCTTCAGCGAAGCCCTCCTCCTCCGCCTCCCCCTCCTCCTCCCCCTCCTGTTCCTCCGCCTCCCCTCCCCCCTCCTCCTCCTCCTCCTCCTCCTCCTCTTCCTCCTCCTCATCCTCCTCCTCCTCCTCCTCCTCCTCCTCCCCCTCCTCCTCCTCCCCCCTCCTCCTGCTCCTCCTACTGTTCCTCTTTCTCCTCCTCCTCCCCCTCCTCGTGCCAGGCCCGCTTCGGCAGCGGCGGCCTCGGCCTCCACGATCTGTCCGTGCTGGCCGCCAGCGTGGAGGGGCTGGTGCACGCCGAGACCGAAGCGAGGCCGCCGACGCCCGCGGCCCGAGGGGGGACTTCGGAGGGTGCCGTCGGGCGCAGGGGTAGGGTGTGCTCGAGTGGCCTGCGCAATTCCGCCGAGACCCCTCGAGGAGGGCCACGGAAGAGAGGCGGGGGACCACGAACAAGAGGAGGAGGAGGAGTAGGAGGAGGAGGAGGAGGAGCAGGAGGAGGAGGACCACACACAAGAGGGGGAAAGGAACGGACACAGGAGGAGGAGGGCCACACACAGGAGGGGGGAAGGAACGGACACAGGCTGGACACAGGGTTGCAGCACGTGGTATCTCATCCTGGCGAATCCGTTCAGCTTCTGTCGTGTGTGTTTGGGAAGTTCCGTGAAGGGGAGGAGATATTCGAGGAGGGTGGAAGGGTGGCGCCTACTGCAAACCCCTGTGCACTGCAGTGGCAACAAGATGTCGATGCTCTTCGTGATCTGGAATATGGGGAGGACCTTATAGTGCAGACGGTAGGGACTTCCTGACGCTTTTCAGTAGATTCGGGGGCGATTTCCTGCGCTTGGGTCCCACGGAGTTGAAATCCCATGTTCTGCATCACGGAGGGCGGGAGTTCAAGGACTCCCACGCGGGCGCGGGTCAGTTCGCATGTGCAGCCTTTTTTGGGCAGGTGGCTGCGTGCGGGGCCGTGTGGGATACTCGTCAGCAGTGGCAGTCCCACCTTGCTTCCACAGTTGGGGGGACGCATGTTGTGCTTCATTTGAGAAGGGTGGCGACGCATACAAATGTGTGCGTGTTGTGCAGAGCTGTGTTTCGTGATCGCAAGACGGCGCAAGCCCATGTGTTGGCGTCCACTCACCGGGGCCATTGTCCAAGGGATCGCACGCGGTTCGGGAGCGGGATTGTTCGTCCAAGGATGCTGCTTTGCAAGATTTTCCAACTATCTTGTGGCAGCTTGGAGATTTTGCTCGAGCGCTGTGCCGATCATCTTCATACTGCACTATCTCCAGGGTTTCGTATATTGGATGGCGCACCTCGTCCGGCCGAGGAGCGAGAGCATGCTGGTGGAAGGAGGGACCCAAGGCGTTGCCAAGGTGCCGAAACACGAGGTCGAGGACACCGGCGTGGTGAGGGACCACCTGATGGTGTAGGTCGAAGCGCGGGTCCCTTTTCCCCCCCCCTTCCTTTCTCCCCACCCCCTTCCCAGAGGTCGGCCACCGAGCCGACTGGCCCAAGCGCCGGCCCTGAGAGCGGGCAGCGGCCGGCATTCATCCGATTGCGGTTCCGGCATTCATCCGGGTGTCGCTGCTTTCATCAACTGCGAAGCGCGCAGAGGCCCGACTTTCACGTTGGAGCCAGCTGGAGTTCCAGAGACACGCGCAGAATCGTTCAGAAAACTTGAATGGCGCCTGAGACATACGGGTGAGGAGGAGGAGGAGGAGGAGGAGGAGGAGGAGGAGGGAGGAGGAGGAGGAAGAAGAGGAAACCACGATGGTAGGAATGGAGGAGCGTGGGGAGCATTGGCAGGAGAAATTCAAGGAAAGACGAAAGAAAAACGGTGAGATGCGCTTCCCTCGTCGCCACGTCTTTGGGCCTCTGGGAGCCTCGTCGCTACGTCTCTGGGTTCCCCTCGGATTCCTGACCCCTGGAGAGCATATTTCAGAGAAAGAAACGAGTCGCGCCCCTGCCCACGTTTACGTTTTTGGGGGCTTCGTTCGAGGCTCTCGGCGCCGCCGCTGGATTCGCCTTGAAATTCAAGCCAGAACGCGCCATGGGAGAGGTCCGAGGGGGGGGGGGGGGGGGGTACTGGTACTCTTTGGTTTCCCCAGCGTTCCGCGTGTCTTGGGACCCGTTGGAGGTCTGATGCCCCCAGGGCTTTCGAGTGCGTCTTGAGGCCGCGTTGGGCCATCTTGGCGGCTCATTCGGAAGCCGCGATGCATTTTCGAGAGCCACAGCGATGCGTCATGGCGGCCTGGGCAGCCGTGTGTGGGGGGGGGGGGGGGGCGATGCAGCCCGTAGGATACTTAGCATATAGACAGCCACCCGGCATTCTACAACGCCCTAGCGCGCCAGGGTTTACGATGGCGTGTTATGGGGCGCGGAGTAGCCACTGGAGGAACGAGTAAATGGAGGACGTGTTAAGGCGGTGGATGATGATTCGCAGAGAGAGAGAGAGAGAAAGAGAGAGACACGTTTGATTCGGAAGGGGGTGGCGCAGGCGGAAACGAGGTTGAATCCGACCGGAGGAAAAGTGATGTCAGTGATGTTCACAGTCTCTGTTTCTCTAGGTACAGACTCTGAGGCATCATGGAAACATTCGTCTTAAACGTTGGCGTTTGGTACGTACTACAGCATACCACGTTACTCCTCGTGTGGCGGCCACGCCGGTATGGGTTGGTAGCGTGGGTGCCCCAGAATGGGTTAAAGTTTGCAGTGCGGCTGCGGTGTGATTTGGTCGTGTGCTGCACCCAGTGCGAGGGCAATATGCGTTTCGTGTCTCCATATTCTGGCCCAGCAGTCTTCTCCATTTTATAAGGTTAACCATTTATTCGGGGGGCTTCGGGAAAACTGGCGGAGGCGAGGCAAGGGGGGAGGCTGCGAGGCGGGAGGCGAGACGGGAAGAGGTGAGGTGGGAGGGGGCCAGTGGCGGCCAGTCGGGAGGGCCAGTCGGGAAGAGGGCCCTAAGAGGCCTCCTAGACTGGGAGTCTGGCATCGCTCGGGCGGTGTGCGTTTGTTCCTCGGCGGGGACCATCGGGGAGCATCTCGGATATCATCCTGCGGCAAGGTGCGCGCGCGAGGCCGACAAGTGCACGAGGAGAATGGGAACTCCGAGCGATGGCAAGGGGCAGGAGGAGAGGAGGCGAGGCGGGAGGGCGGGGCTGCGGGAGGCGGGCGGGCAGGCGGCGACGCGGGGGGGCAGCGGGGCGCGAGCGGAGGGTGGCCTGGGGCCGTATACGAGATTGGCCGGATTGCGGTGTTTTTTTTTGGTTCGCCAGATTGGATTCAGGTTGACCCCCTCGCCAGATTGCCAGATGTCGCCAGATTGGGCCCGCCAGATTGGCGCCAGATTGGCTTCGACTACCCAGTTCGGCGCTCTAGAGGCGGGGGTGAGTGCAAACGGGGGTCAGTCAGGGCGCTGGATCGTGCAAGATCCTGCCGAGCCAGGGGCGCACTGACCCGGGTTAGGGCGCATGATCCTGCAGGATCCTGCAAGGCCTGACTGACCCAGGACTGGACTGACCTGGATCAGCAGGCCCCCGAGCCCTGCGTCGGTGTTCGCCCCGCGCGGGCGGTGGCGGTGCCGCGTTCTGCGGGCCCTTGCCGCGGCCGCGCCCCGACACTCCAGGCACAACAGAGAGCCACGACCACAGCTGATCGCCATGGGGGAAAGCGGGTCCTGAGGGAAACGGGTCCTGAGGTGCTTCGCCATTTTCGGGCCCTCGAACCTTTCTGAATGTGGATGTGGTCGATTTGGCCGTCTGGGACATCCACATCGACCACAACCAGCACTCAACTGGTTTCGGCGTTCTGACGATTTTGTTAGTTAGCTGAGCCACGCGCAGAAAAAAAAAAGAAATGAGAAGAAACAAAGGCTTCTTAGAAACACCCCTGCTTCTTAGAAGGCGTGGGCCTTGTCTGCAGATGTAGAGTCGGCGACTTCTGACAAGCAGCCTCCTTCGAAGAAGCCTTCCCGCCTCCCGCTTCCCCCCTTGTGTGCGCCGCCGATATGCACAAGACGCCCCCCCAGGGTGCGTCCTCGATGTGGTCGTGTCTTCGCTTGCTGCCCCCGCCCACGCGGGCCCCCCGCGAGGCTCCGGGCTGCCACCGCCGCGACGGTCGGGCTCGATGCCGCCGAGGGCATGCTGTCCGAGAAGGAGGACGCGGCCTCTTTGCCGCCCTTTGCCCTGGTCGTCGCCCTCCTCCTCCTCCTCCTCCTCCTCCTCCTCCTCTTTTTCCTCCTCCTCCTCCTCCTCCTCCTCCTCCTCCTCCTCCCCTTCCTCCTCCTCCGCCTTGCCTCCTCCGCCTTGCCTCCTCCTCCGCCTTTCCTCCTCCTCCTCTTTTCCCTCCCCTTTTCCTCCTCTTCCTCCTCTTCCTTAGCCATTCATCTCGGGGCTGGTTGGCCCCGTGCAGCGAGGGGCCAACGTGGGAGTGCACTGCCCCCGCGAACCATCTTGAGCCTGGCGATGTCTTCCCTCCCTTCGTTGTCCCCTTCGTCCCCTCCTGCCCCGCCACCCTCACCCCTGAATCAAGAAGGTTCCGTAGGGCTCAGGTGCGATACCATCCTGTTCCTCAGCAGGGTGCCATGGGACGTGACGGATTTGGCCCAATGCGAGAGCCACAGTAGTTCGGCACCTTCGCGATATGCAAGGGCCGAAGGTCCTGCCAACCATGCACGATGACGGAAGCGACGACAAAGCCCGATATCACCAGCTGCAGCACGACGAGGGCTGATCAAGAGCTGACACACACCGTGAGAGGCCCGTTCACTTTCCTCCTCTTCCTCGTCTTGTTTGCAGCAGCTTGTGCGAGAAAGGTGTTGAGCGGGAGCCAGGCGTGACACTTCATTACGAGAAGCTGAGGATGAAGCTGGAGCCAGGCGCGGACGCAGCAAGTAAAGCATCATGCTACTCCAATTATATATGATGGGTGCCATCGGGAGACAGGTGACAGCGAAGGACGAACCCAAAGCCATCAGTTGCAGCGCAGGGATCAGGGCATAACAGAGGCCAAGATGGAGCCAAATCCGCCACTTCATGGCGAGCAGTGGGTGGCGAAGCTGGGGCCCGACGCAGCAGGTGTACCCCCCCGAGGGAGGCCATTGCGAGCGAGGGAGCGGCGCAGGACGAACCCGAAGCCATCAGCCACAGCGGTGGGATCAGGGCATGTCAATGGTGAAGTTGGAGCCAAACCTAACACCTCTCTGCGAGAAGTGGGCGGCGAAGCAGGGACACGACACAGAAAGCGCACCCTGAAGCCATCATGTGCGAGGAGACGGCGAAGGACGAGCGCGACGCCATCACCTGCTGCGCAGGGATCCGGGCAAGCGGAGGGCAACGTACACGAAGCTGTAGCCCGAACTCGTGCGACAAGTGCGAGTAGAGCTCAAGTAGGGCCAGAACTGATGGGTTCCAGAGCCAGATGCGTCACATCCAGGTCGCATATACATCGCCGATGCGGTGTGATCCTCCGGCCCCTTCTGCTCTAGCCCCACTTGGGCGGCTTCCTGAGGAGGAGCAGGAGCCAGTGGATGAGGTGCGCTGTGCGGAATTCCGGCCGAGTCTGCTCGTAGTTCCCTCGATGTGTGTGTGTGTGTGTGTTCACGTGCTCGTTGTGGTGAGATGAGTCAGATTTCATTGTCTCTTGCTCGTATAAGTTTGATTGTCGCTGTAGACCATTAAGTCCGAAACATACTGGTTGGCCGATCTCTGTTTGCTAGCCTTCGAAGCGCAACGGATGTCCCGACCGCTTGCGATAAGCGCGCTTCCCACTCTCGCTGCGCCTTCACGATTGGAGCGCTTGTGAATGTACTTGTTCGGTGTTGTTTGACTCGATGGGAGGGCTCCCTCGTGGAGGAGGCGGATCCGGAGGAGGAGGATGACGATGACGAGGAGAAGAAGAACGATGAGCCAGGAGCAGGAGGAGAGAGAATATGAGGAGGACGACGAGGAAAGAGTTAGGGGCGGAGGACGATCAAAAGGACGAGCAGAAGGAGGATGACGATGGAGTGGAGGATGAAGAGGGGGAGGGATGAGGAAGGAGGGCCCTCCAGATCGTCGTGAGCAGTCCATGAATCCAGTGAAGTATTCCGCCCCCCTTCTAGTCTCCAGTTGTTGTTCTCGTATAGCTGGTCACCGCACGGTCTGTCCCCAATGCATGCTCTGTCATTTGTTGATCGCTTCTGTCACTTCTCGCGTATGTCATCGGTATTGGATTGCACCAGTGGGAGAGCGTGGCTCGCAGGCCGACGCTGTCATGGGCGCCTACATGGCCACGTACATACTTGGAACCACTGTGTCTGAGGCGGCCACCGGGGGGGCCCACAGAGCAAGGAATTTTATATTGGCTTTGCATCAACACTGTGCTCGCGCTGGTGCGCCGTGCACGCACTCGAGATCCACGATTCGTGACAATTGCTTCCCTCGGTTTTGAAATTGCAAAGTTGCGCTGTCAATGGCCTGCTTGTTGCTTGTTCAGGGTTCTGCACAGGAGTATTATTGGGGTATACGTGCGTACCCATGCGCCTTCGCTTACGAGAGTGACCTGAAGACGAATTGGCATTGCTCCGCGTCCTTCCCACACTCTCCTGTCTTTCACGCCATCGCGCGAACTTTAATCGCAAGCTCGAGTTCTGGCGTACGTTTTCTTTCATAAGCAATAACAATTCAATACCGAAGCTCGAAGCGGGCAACTCCAAACGTGTCGGAACGCTCTCGAAGCGTTCTGGAAAGGTATTTTGCGGCCGCGTCGCCCGATGCATCTTCCAGATCCGCACGGTCCCATTGATTCCCGATTTGCATTGTGACGGTTCTAGTGTCTTCTTGCTGTCGTCTCGCCGCGGTCGTGCAAGCGTAGACGCCCGCGATCAGCACGTGCTTGTTCCTTCCCCGACGTCCGCGGCCATACAGATTTGATCACTTGATGGGCGCCCAGGAGCCGCGAGAGTTTGAAGCTACGTCTGCCAGCATGGACTTCAAACAGTAAGTCATTGCACTATGGATGTGCAAGCTCTGAGGTGTAAGCCATGTTGTGTAATCTATGTGGTGTAGCCCATACAGTGAAGGCTATGCGGCACAAGCTATGTGGTGCGAGCTATGCGGTGTAACCTGTGCGGCGCAGGCTATGCGGTACAGGCCACGTGGCGCCAGCAACTCTGGTGCAAGCCGTGCGGTGCAGCGCCTGTGGTGCAAGCTGTGTGGCGCCGCCCTCGTGGTGTTTTTTTTGTGATCGAGACATCGGAGAAGCATGCTTACCTGGATTGTATACTTGCTCCGTCTCTGTAAGCTATGCGCTATGCGCCGTGCCGTGTGAGCTGTGCGGCGCGCACCGTGTGGCAAAAAGTCCTGCGGCGCAGCGTGTGCGGCTGGCCGGCCCGTGAGGCGCCTGCCCAGCGGGCACCGAAGCGGAGCCCCGGCACGCCGGCTCTCCGGCACCTGGCGCCCTCGGGCGGGCACCGGGCGGACCCTCCAAGGGCGCCCTCCCAGGGCGCGAAGTGACGCGCGCGCTTTCGGTTTCGGCTCCGATGCCTCCTCGTTCTCCTCCTCTTCCCTGGGGGGCGGCGCGAGAGCGCGGAGTTCTTCGCGCCTCGCGTGGCGCGAGAGAGCGAAGTTGAGCGCCCTTGCTGACGCGCCCAGCGCACGAGGCTCCCACGATCTATCCGCGGGCGGGTGCTGGGCGAAGTTCAGGGGAGGAAGTACCCTACCGCTACCCTTACCTCGTCTTCGCCTTTTGGTGCCTCGTGGGATGCCCTCGTCGCCACCGCTAGATTCGCCTCAAATTTTGATCAGAACGCTTCCCGGGAGACGTCTGGGGAGATAGCGGCATCGGTACCTTTCGGTTTCTCCCCAAGTTTTTGCCAGCCCACCCAACATGATGCGCACACGAGGCTCCCGCGGGCGCACACCAATTGGGCACCAAGCGAAACTTCGGCTGACCCATCCAGTTCCTTAGGAAACCCAAGTACCCCCAAGTGCAATCACGGTGCTATGCGTATTTCCACCAGCCCACTAGAAAACATTCACCAGTTGGGTTGCCTTGATCAGGGCTGTGTTGCAGCTTGCAGTCACGCTTTGGTAGCCTCTTGGAGGCATCTTTGGGCCATCGTGTGGCCCTATTGGGTCCCTCGTGGGGCCCTCTTGGGGTCATTTTCGAAGCCTTCGGGGCTCTTTGGGGTCCCTGCTGGGGGGCCCTCTTGGGGCTTTCCTTGGGCCATCTCAGAGGCTTGGGGGCCCTCTTGGGGCCGCCTTGGAGGCCATCCTCTTGGGGAGCTCTTGGGGCGCCATTGGGCGCGCTTGGGGCCGCCTTGGGCCCCTCTTGGGGCTCTCTGGGCCCATCTTATAGCCACCTTGAAGCCTCAAGAACCCGTCGTAAGCAAGACGGCGAGGATACATCGATATTTGTCTTTCTGTCGTTTTCGACGGGTTCTGAACCCTCGACGAGGTACTGAGTTGCTCCGTGGCGACCTGAAGCCCCAAGTGCAAGTTCTGCAGGGGGAGTTAGAAACATCGCCTCCTCGCACTTCTCGCCCTGGTGCATCTCACAAAGTGATCGAAGTCCCAAATGCTGGCGCCTCCGGTTTGGAAGTCAGGAGGGCAACGTAGTGGGCAGGGATGAGCGAGCGGGTGGGTGGTGGGAGGGGGCAGGGGAGAGGGTTGGCAGGGGGAGATGATATTATTTAATCGCTTCGCTCATTCCGCTGGCCCTGGAGCCCTCTTTAGGGCCTCTTGGGGGCCTCTTGGGGACCTCTCGGGAGTCTCTTGGGGCTCCTTGGCGGCGTCTTGGGGGCCCCCAGGGCCGCTTGGGGGGCTTTTGGGGGCCTCTTGGGGCGGAGGGGGGGCAGTCGATTGCGGCTCCCCCCTCGGAGGGCACGATCCTCGTGAGGGGTGTCGAAAAAATGGCCCTGCCCTGGAGTGCTCTGGTGGCTTCTCCCGGGACCTTGCCGGGGTACTTTTCGTCCGGGGGCCCTCAGGGGCCGCTCCGCGCGCGCGAACTAGACATATTGTTAACCAGTTACCGGAGATCTTAGCAAGCCTCCTGCCCGTTGGGCTGGCGAATAAGCTTTGGCATGGGCCTGTAGGCTCGAGATGCAGCACAGCTGGCAGAGGTGCATATTTGCGCGAAGCCCTTGGGAGCAGGCGAGAGGACGAGGAAAAGGATGGAGGGTTGGGAGGAGGAGGGGGGAGAGCTTCAGGGGTCCGGGGGAACTGCGAGGACTAAGGAGGAGGGAAGTAGAAGGAGGAGGAGGACGAGGAGGAGATTGAGAAGGGAAGTAGTAGTAGTAGGAGGAGGAGGAGGAGGAGAGGAGGCGGGATGTGCGAATGGAAGAACATGACAAGAGATCAGGGGGAGTGCTGGGGGATCGCCAGTGCCCTCCGAGTGCTCCCGAGGGACGCCAGCTTGAGGGACGGACTGCTTCCTTCGATCATGGCCTCTCCTCTCTCGGCTCAGGCAACTCCGGATGTGGTGAAGAATTTGGTGGACATTGAGATCCACAGCCAGTACCCCAATTGGGGCAAGACGAAGCGGTGGATGCGCGAGGTGCGCCAGGACCTCTCCGAATGCGCGCGCCGAAAGTCGGACTATAAGTTCGGAGAGTTTTTTTTTCTTTCACGAAAGGCGCATGTGCTGAAGTCAGACAAGGTACGCCTACCCGTTCTCATCCGTTTCTCTCTCTCTCTCTCTCTTTTTCTCCCTTTCTCTCCAATTCCTCAATTTTCATCAGCCTGTCTCTCTGTCTGCCTTTCTGCCTCCACTCCCCTTTCCGCCCCCTCTCTCTCTCTCGACGGGTCACCTCGTCGCTCATCATGGGCATGCACGCCCCGCTTCGGGCGCCATGCACCCGCCGCTGCACTCCCAGCGACACCAGCAGCCAGGCTGTGTCTGGGCGGCCCCTCTCCGTTTCATGACCCTCGAGTTGGGGGCAGCGTCATGCTCAAGACTGCCGCGCGGAGCTCGGGCGCGGGCTCCAGCGGCGCGGCCCTCGTGTCCCGAGAGGACCAGCCAGAAAGGAGGGGGAGGAGGCGCGGGAGGAGGCGCAGGAGGAGGCGGGGGAGGATGAGGCAGCCAGGTTGGTGATGCGGGGGAGAGGATGAGCACGAGGGGTATGAGGAGGAGTGGGAGGAAGAGGAGGAGGAGGAGGAGGAGGAGGAGGAGGAGGAGGAGGAGGAGGAGGAAGCAGGACGCATCATGAGGGAAGGAGGACCCGAGGCGGAGTTGGAGGCGGAAGAGGAAGACCCCGAGAAATCAGGTGGCTCAGGAGGCGGAGGAGGGCGATGAGGGAAGGAGTGGAGAGAGGGTTGGCAAGGAGAGCGGGAGGAGAAGGCATCGAAGGCGGGTCGGGAGGAATGGTGAGTGATAGAAGGAGGGGAGAGGGGAGGAAGGGCAGAAGGTGCGCGAACAGCAGGAATACAGCAGGAGGCAGAGGATGGTCAGGAGGAAGATAAGGGATGGGCGGATGAAGATGATGAGGAGGGGAGGGGAGCGATAGATGGGAATGGAGGGCGCGATGAAGGATGGATTGGAAGGGGCTTGAAGGGTGACTTGTTTGCTCACTGCCTACAACGGCAGGACGGATCGCCGAAGCGATTGCAGAGCGTAACCATATTCACGTACACGCAGACATGTATGTATACATTCATACACTATACAGGCGCATGCACATGTATACACGTGAATGCAGTGTTTGCCCATTCCCTAAACTATGTTAGGGGAACGAAAATGACATAAACATAAAAGCTGAGAGGTCCGCGTGGATTTCTCGGATCGGCGCTGGACCCCCCTCCCTGGCGCGCGAAGCGCGCTAGGGACGGCGCCAGAGACGGCGCCAGGGGGGTCCAGCGCCGAAGAAATCCGCGCGGACCCCTCGGCTTTTATGTTTATGTCATTCTTCGTTCCCCTATGTGTACACGCATAGGCGTCTGCGCGTGCTTGTGTGCCGTCACCGAAGACGCCCGCGGCGTGCCGGCGCCGCTCCCCCTGCCTTTCTCGGAAGCGCCGTGGCCGCACGTCGGGCCTGCAAGCACTGCCGAGCTGTGGGTGACGGCGTGTGCCCCCCTGGACCGCCTGCTCTGCCCGGGTGGTGCAGCGCTGCTGGGTGCAGCATCGGCCTTCACCCGCTGGACTGTGTGCTGCGCCTCTGCTTTGCAGTCTCGTGTCGTGCTTCGCTCGTGATGCGAGCGGCACGCGCGCAAGCCAAGAAGATCATCGCCGAAGCGTGCGGGTGTCCCCCTGGACCGCATTCTCTTCCTGGGTGGTGCAGCGCTGCTGGGTGCAGCATCGCCCTTCACCCGCTGGATTATGATGTTCCAACCTACTCTTGGTCACCAGAAATAATTTCGAGCACCAGCAGAAATACCGAAACTCGAGGGTTTTCACGTGTCGGGACCTGGGCGACACTCGCCCGACACTGTTTCGACACTCTTTCGACACTTTTCGGGGTGCTCGACATTATTTCTGGGATGTGGTCCTTGAGTACGATGGGAGCAACATAAACCTCTGGATTGTGTTTGCGTATCTCTTGGTACCGCTCGGAGGTGTGCACTTGTTCTCGGCGGGGATCATTCGGGAGCATCCTGGATCATCCTGCGAAACACACCACGCACGAAACCGAAAAGAGCACAGGGAATGGACGTCCGAGCGATGGCCAGATCTGCTTTGCAGTCTCCTTTCGTGCTTAGCTCGTAGTGCGAGCGGCACGCGCGCAAGCTAAAACATTCCTGACCGAAGCGTACGGATGCTGTCACGGAAAGCAGCTGTCTTCGCGAAGAGTCCACCGTATAACCCGACCTACCCACAAAAGTCAGGATGTTGCCCCGCATCCTCAGAGATTCCAACCATGGACAACGTTGGCAAGAATGGCACTGCGGAAACACTGAACTCAAAATGGCACCGCCCGTATCGAGCAGATATGCATGGGACACTGCCGCTGGGGGTTGGCGTATCGGACACAGCCGCACGGCCACTGAGGGCTGACGTATTTACAACTTCCCATTGTACCAGGCCTCGAGGTCAGGCCCATCGCCAATGTAGAAGTTCTTCACTTCGTCCGTGACGGTGCGATAGGAATCCCGCTGCCAGCTAGAGGTGTCGAACACATCGGCGGTGTCGCTTGGGCTGGCGGAGGCGGAGGCCACCAGCCCATGGGCTTCGCAGTCGCCACCTCCTGGGTCACTCAGAGGGGAAGCCTGGACCACCGCCGCCGAGGAAACCCATCGGTGGGGGGTCGACCCCTGGGCGGTGACACGCCCAGGGGTCGGTCTCCAACCGACGGAGTCTCGGTGGCGGTGGTCCGTGCTTCTCCTCCATGGGGTCGCCCAGGGATGGTGACACGGCCAGTGGTCGGTCTCTACCCGATGGAGTCTCGGTGGCAGTGGTCCTTTACTAGTTTCTCCTCTCTCGGTCGTGTCCGGCTCCTCCCCATCAGGCCGCCGCTCCTCCGCGCGGGGAGAAAATCAGGTGGGGGAACGTTGTGCCTGTGCTCGGGGCGTCTCCCTTCGGGCGCGCAGGTGGATGGTTCAAAGTCGATGCCGTCGTCTCCGCAGCAGGCAGTGGTAGCGTCCTCCAGCCGGGGCACCAGCGGAGAAGCCGGCGCTGTCGCCACCTCCGCTTCCTTCAAGAGGTCTTATCCGAGTCCTTCTTTACATCCTTCGGCTCCTCGGGGCGCCCCCCACGCTGGAGCTTCTTGCCCAGTTGGAGATCCTGCGTGGCCTCCGCACTGAACGGGCCGCCAGGGGAAGGTGGCGACATCAGCGGTGCGAAGTTGATCACGGACTCATCATGAACATCTATTTCGAGGTCCGCGCACCCCGAGGTCGTCGCCGACGAGGTGCACAAGGACAAGTAAATAGGTGCACAGCTGGGACCCCCCCTGACACCGTGCGCTGGTGTTCCCCACTGGTTGACTCCCACGCACGCGGCAGGCACACAGTAAACAAGCAGCCAGACGGCCATCGGCCCTGGGGTGAAGCGCGGGGCGCCAAGGATCCAACCACGGCTCGAGCACGAGCTTGAGGGAAGGGGGAGCGGAGGGGAGGGAGAGGAGCCTGAGGGGTGAAGGACGGGAGGGATGAACGGGGGGAGATGGATGAGGATCAGGACAGGGAGCGGATGAAGAGGAGGAATATACGGAGAGAAAGGAGGTGGGGGGATGAGGAAGTGGAGGAGGAGAAGGAGGAGGTGGAGGTGGATTAGGAGCATGACGGGTAGGACACGGTGGATAAGTATGAGGAGCAGCAGTAGCAGCGCACCATGCACGTTATACCCTTGAGATCTGACGCGGGAATAGCCCGTTGTGTTGGCGAACTGACGGGGTCTTTGTTCGACCGAACAGCGATTCGCGCCGTCATTGTCTGATACGTCTCTTACTCCTCGCCCTACCCGTCACTTTTCCGCTCCCACCTTTGCCCGTTTCTTGTTTTTCTTTCTAATTGCGCCAGCAGGACGTGATGCCAGGCGCTCGGAGGTTCTCGTTCTCCAACATGACGACGATCCTCGAGGAGGTCGCCGACCGCTACGGCCTCTGGCAGGCCCAACGGAGCACACGCGAGCATGGCGTTCGGCGAACGGGGGCCGTGTGAGAGTATGACCCCTCGGAGGGATTTTGGCCATCAAGCAGCAGCGCGATTCATGAGATGGTGGCGCGCTCGAAAGGGCTTCAGTGCATGTATCTGCAAGCCAGCTTGCAAGGATGCGCAGCTCCGAGAATCATGCGTTACCCCTTCCCTCGGCTTGCCTCCTTCCCCGTCGATCTCCCTCCCTCTTCCACATCCCGTCGCTGCTACTTGATTTGGGCTGAACTGTCCTGGTCGGAACTGCAGGGCAGTGCAGCGCGCCACACTGCATTGCTGTGCGAGGCGGCGTGTTGCGTCCCAATGCGTCGCTGTACGTTGCCTGGCATTGCCTTGCTTCGCTGTGCTCAGCTGCTTTGTTTTGCAGAGCAGTGCCTTCGCAGTACATACTTCGTTTTTTTGTCTTGAGACGCGCATGTTCCGGGTGCTCACTTGGGCTCATCGAGCTCCCTGTTGGGAGGCGGTGCGGCGATGCCAGTGACGATGAGTTGTTGATGGGTCTGATGCTGGACAGGATCTCACGCTGGGCTCGACTTGAGGTGAGTCTTTGGAGCTCCCCCCGGGCGCCTCAGACGTCCGACGGCAGCTAAAACGCCCTGCCAGCAGCAGGTAGACGGGCAGTGGCGAACAATTGGCGGGGCGCGGTGCCGATCAGGACGTTTGTGTTGCAGGTCCCTGGCGGGGGGCGACATCCCGCCAGGGCACCCCGGCACCGCACCACCACGAGAGACACAATTCACGACTCTCGAAAGGCAGATCCCGAGGAGGAGTCAAGGGTCCCCCAGATGGCCCAAAAGCATCCCCATATGCTTCAGACGGTTCCAAGAGGTTCCTGGGGTAACCCAAGACGTCCCTAAGAGGGCTCAGGGATACTGGTTTTCGTCGCGCCGTGGTGTGCCCTCCAGACTGGGGAGTCTCAAGACCAGTGTTTGTTCCTCCTGTTTTCATTCCCTTCTGTTTCGCCCCTCGTTTCTGTTCTGTCTACGAGACTCTCCAAGCAGTTTTATACTGCGCGCGTGCTCTTTACATTGACTTTCTCCGAATGGCGTTGTCGCCTATACGCCTATGTCTTCCCATGGTCGCGTTCCCTCCAAGCTTCATCCCGTCAGGCTTGGACATGGCCATTCTTGGCCAGTCCAGCCCAACCCAGTGAACCCTTCGATCCCAGTCCAGCCCAAATCAGGCAGCCCAGTCAGCCCAGTCCAATCCCAGTCCAGTGATTCCTTTCCCGTCTCATCGAGTCCAGTTCCGTTGGCCAGGCGACGCTGGTCCAGTCAAGGCCAGCCTAGTGCAGCCAGCGAAGTCAGTCCAGCCTGGTCTGGTCCAAACCACTCTCTTCCGACCTCGTCGAGCCCTTAACCCAGCCCAGCAGGCCCTCCTCACAAGAAGCCTGCTCGTCGAAGACGGAGCCGCCGCCGGTGGATGTGCATTTGAAACCCTGGCCACGCGGTGCCCCCTGTAGGGGGGCACTGCGTGACCAGGGTGCAAGATGAGGGAGGGAGGAGAAAGGGAAGGAGGGTGGGAGGGAGGGAGGGAGGGAGGAGGAGGAGGAGGAGGAGCACAAGGAGGAGGAGGAGGAGGAGGAGGAGGCGGAGGAGGAGGAGGAGGAGGAGAGACTGCCGGCCTGCGCTCAGGGGGTCTCTGCGCCCGCTCGAATCACGCGGCCGTGGGGGCGTGGCCTTCGGCACGTGCCCGGCGGTGGTCGTCGCGCGGGCGCGGCCGTGCGGTGGGCCGGGTGGGCTCGTGGGTTTCGCGCGGGCCTTGCCCGTGGGCGCGCCCCGCGGGCGGGGCCCCGTGCGCTCTCAGGCGGGTGCCCGCCCGCGGGCGCCTCGTGGTCGTGCGGCCGCGGGCTGCGCCACACGCCTCGCGCTTGCTCGTGGTGCCGCGCAGCTCGCAGCACGTAGATCAAGGGGCCCAAGGACACACATAAATACACACAAATAACAGGATTCCCAATATTTGCACGATTTTATTAGTTTTTGTTTTCCCCCCCACGTCCCACATTTTCTCATATCTTCCAGGAAATCGACGATTAATTGTGTCTCTGTGTTTTTTTGTCCTCCTGAGTAGACTGCACCGTAGGGCTTGCACCGCACAGCCTGCACCACGGACCCTTCGCCGCGTGGCTTTGGCACCGCGCGGCATGCCGCACGGCTCGAAGAGCACAGGGCCTGCACCACAGAGCTTGCGCCGCATCGTTTGCAGCACGACCCACGCAGCATAGGGCTTGCGCCGCGTGTGTTGCACCACATAGCTTACACCGCCGTGCACCACGCAGCTTGCATCACACAGCTTGCACCACAGCTTGCAACCTTGTAACCCTACTGCATAGCTCAGGCGTCCAGCGTGCAAGGAGTCATTGTTTGGGACCAACACTGGCAAACCTGAATCAATGGGTAAGGCCGAGGGTTATGTGGAATGACGAGGAGGCGGATGGGGATGACGGTGCGTTCTCTCCGTGAGGCCACAGACTGCAAGGGGTTGAAGACGGAGCTCATGGCCATGGAAGACGTGAACGGCTCTGGAAGGGTGCTTCCTTCTCTTTGGGAAAGATGCGACAGGCACGGGGGAGTGACTGGCACATGCTTCCTGACGGAGCAGCAGCATCGACTGAACAGGAGGAACAGGGTGATCCAGAGGATGGTGAGCACGGCGCGCAGGTGGCTCGCGGGTTGGCCGGTGTCCGATCCTCGCGCAGCTTCCTGATTCGTTCCCTTTCCCTCCTCTCTGCCCCCCGTCCCTCTACTCCCGCCCCTGTCCTCCCCCATGCCCCACCTGGTCGTCACTTCGCTCTGCCCGCTCTCCCCTTCCACCCGTGATCCTTTGGCGGGTATTCGAGGTGAGCGTCGAGCAAGCACGGGGGGCGGGGCCTAAGGTCTTGCCCCGTCTCATATGGCCGTTAGCGCGCTGCGCGACGGACTCCTTGCAGTCTGCGTACGCTGCCCATCATTCTCTACACCGTCGTGCATAGTCGGAGTACTGTTAGGTCGGGCCTGTCCCCCTGCAGGGGGATTTTGGGGGAAAACTATAAATAGCCAACAACTATTCAAAAATCAAGAATACTCAAAAATCGTCCCCATTGTTGTTTGCTTACTATGTTTGAGTGTTCCTCTTATAGAAAAACAGCCCCGACTCAAGAGTACTGGTTTCGCCTCTCCCCTTGCACCGTGTTGGTGAACCGCCGTCTGTCCCCCATACAGCTGTCTAGACAAAGGGTTTTAGAATATACATACGAGCACCTATATATATAGATCGTCATCATCATCTGTGTACACGACCCGTCTGTTCAATCGGAATGGCCCCTCGGTCATTCCAGAATTGTGCCCTGGCTGCAGCGTTGGCCGCAAGTTGCCGGGGGTGCTGTGCCCCAGTCGTTCAAAGTGGCGACCTCGCCCAAGCGCGGGCCGCTTGTCTGGATCCGACCCCTTCCTCGTCGTTGCCATTCTCCTCATTCTCCCTCCTCCGCGTTCCCCTGGTCCTTCTGCTCCTTCTGGGTTTCTTGCCTCTGCTGCTGTTGCTTCTCCTCCTTCGTCACTCTGTTGTTCCTGTTCATCCTCCTGCCCGTCCGCCTCCACCTCCTTGTGAAGTTTTCAAAACGCTCCGTGTCTGATTGTGCATCGCGCGACGGGGTCATTCTGATGATCACGGACACCCCAGCGGCGGATAGAGCAGACTTCAGCGCCGCAGGAAGGGCAGGGTGGCCTCGGTGGGATGTCAGACACTGCGCGAGCGCACCTGTCTCGCCTCTCCTCCTTCCCTTCCCCCTCCCCCTCCCCCTCGCCTCGCCTCTCCTCTCCTCCCCCTCCCCCTTCCCCCTCCTCTCGCCCTCCCTCGGGGCCGCCCGCCCGGCTCGGCCGACCCCTGCCGCCCGACGCCGCCCGTGCTCGTGCCCGTGGGCAGGTGCGGCTCGCGGACTTCTACAAGGCGGCGCTGGAGGGGCAGAACTGGCAGTTCTCGGAGAGCGTGGAGTATCTCAGGCGGCCATCCCGCCCCGCCCGGCCGGGCGGGGGAGGCGGGCGGGGAGGCGGAGGGGATCCAGGATGGGGTGTCTCGAGGAAGGGCTCAGGAGGGTTGGAGTTGGATGAGAAGGAGGAGGATCACGAGGTGCGGGGTTATAGGGGCGAAGGGGAGGGGAAGGAGGGAGGCGGCGAGGAGCCTGCAGGGGGCGGGGGAGGGCAGAGCCGTTGTTCCGAGCGGCCGCGGCACACTGGACCTGGCATACCCTTGATTGCACTCCAGTCCGGTTCCTCTCAGCCCTGCTCGATCCGACTCTCTGGCTTACTCTGGCCCCATCCAGCCTGGCAGCCCCCCGATCGGACTCGGCGGTCCCTGCTCGTTCCTACGGGCACCTCCCGGTGAGATGCCTGCCGCCTTAACGTCGCGTAATGGTGGGGTGGCGATGAATGGGGTGGCAGCGAGGGCTGCAGGCAAGGGGCCCTTCAGGGCCCCTGAGGGGGCTCTTGCGGGAGCCAGGAAGTTCACCCTTCCCCCCTTCCCCCCTCCTTTTTTATCGTCCCGCCATTTAATCGGGGGCGGCCAAGAGGAGGGTGATGACTAGGGGGGGCGGATGTCGTGGCGGGGGCCATGATATCTCCCCCGAGTTCGTGGCGCCTCTTCCAATTTCAATGCGTTCCTTGGTCCCCCCTGGTCCGCGCACGTGCCTAGAGCCATGATTTGCACACCCCCCTCTTGGACGCCCCCCTCTTGGCCGCCCCCGATTCCAGGACGCCCAACCTCCGCCTCCTCCCTCCCCCGGGGCGGCAGCCCGCTGGGCGGCCGAGGCGGCGGCCCGGCGGGTGGACGGGGCGCCCCCCGCGGCGCGGGCGCCCGCGGCGAGCGGCGCGGGCGCCCGCGGCGAGGCAGCTGGGCGCCCTCGACGAGTCTCGTCCTGGCCTCGGGGGCGTCGGTGCCGCCGCCGTGGTCGTCGTCGCCGCCGCCGCCGCCGCCGCCGCAGACGACGTCGCCACCGCCGCCGCCGCCGCCGCCGCCGCCGCCGCTGCCGTCGTCGTCGTCGTCGTCGTCGTCGTCGTCGTCGTGGTCGTCGTCGTCCTCGTCGTCCTCGTCGTCGTCGTCGTCATCGTCGTCGTCGTCGTCGTTGTCGTCGTGTTGTCGCCTCCAGGCCTCCCCGTGGGGGCCCGAGCAGAGGGTGCGGGTCGGAGGGCCGCCCCGCATCGCCGGTGCGCTCCGCGCTGCGGCCTGCTGCGGAGCCCGCCGTGCTCCACGCCAGCGTCGCCGAGGCGTCGCCGCCGTCGCGGGTGCTCGGAGGATCGGGGGCGGCAAAGAGGGGGGTGATGACTAGGGGTGATGACGACAAGCAGATGAAGGACTAGAGGATTGGAGGGATGAGCGATGAGGAGGACAATGAGGAGGCCACAGAGCATCCGGACGATTACGACGACTTCGACGGCGGCGCCGAGGAGGAGAAAGAGGAGTGCGAGAATTAGCCCCGGCATGGCTTAAGCAGGCCCTGAAAAGTTTCGGGGGCGGAAAAGAGGGGGGTGATGACTTGGGGGGGGGGGATTTCGTGGCGGGGGCCATGATTTGTCCCCAGATTTAATGGCGCCTCTTCTTGTTTCAGTACGTCCCTGGCCCCCCCGCTGGGCCGCGCACGTGCCGCCGGTCATGATTTGCACCCCCGCCCCTCTTGGACACCCCCCTCTTGGCCGCTCCCGAGAGGAGGAAGAGGTATCCAGTCTGGGCCTCCCAGATGGGGTCGGAGAAGATGGGGTCGGAGGATCGCGCCGCATCATCGATGCATCGGCCATGCGGCTCGATGTGGAACCCGATATGTTCCATGCCGACGTCGCCGATGCATCGCCGACGTCGCCGACGCATCGCCGGTGCATCGCCGATGCATCGCCGATGCCTCGCCGATGTATCGCGGATGTGGTGACATCCTCCGACCCCGTCTACTCGGACCCCATTTAGGAGGACTCTATCCAGACCGCTACCTTGAAGTCGGGCCTGTCCCTCAACAAGAGGAACATTCAGACATAGTCCAGAAATCGTCAGGGGACAATGTTTTTGACGATTGCTGCCCTTTTGTGGGGTATGTTTGGGGCACTTTTTATTTTCCGCCCAAAATCCCCCTGTTGGGGGACACGCCCGACTTAACGCTGCCGTTTCTAAGCCGCTCGAGGCGAAAAGTTCTTGAGCCCCAGCGCCGTCCTTTGCTCTGGGGCACGAGAACTGATATGGCTGCTGCTGTTCCCTCCCTGCCCACCTCCCTCTCCGCCGCAGCGAGACTTGACGCAGCAGCACTTTCGGTACCAGCCCCGGCTGCGGCGACGCAAGGAGCAGGACGAGGACAGCCACAGCTGAAATCGCTTCGAAATGCTGGCCAGAACGTCCCCCTGGAGAGGTTCGAACTTCGAGGTTCTAGATTTTCATGCGTTTTCGTAGTTTTTTGCGGTTTGCCACCCTCGGGATGCGTCCCAGCGGCTGCGCCTCGCCGAAGGCGTTCTGGGGGTGCCCAGATCGTCCCGAACGCCCGCCGGAGACCAGAGTTATGACCCGAAAGCCACATTCGGCGGCGAGCGAGGGGGGAAGTGAGAAGGATAATGCCTTTTCAGACGGCGGCAGGACTTCTCAGAAGCCCTCGCGACTTCTGAGAAGTTTTGCCTGTGTCTTCGGGGGAGGCCTGGGGACTTTCGAGCCTTCTGAGAAGCCTTCTCCTTCTCTTTCCCCCGCTCGCTCGCCGCCGACTCTGTTCGGATTTTGGGACTGGCGCGCATTCTGGTCTCACGAACGGGAGGCGCTGGCGCGCAGTCCCGGTTCCTGCGGCTTTGGCCAGGGGCAAAACTTGGGGCGCGCACGGACTCCCTTTGGAACTTCTGGAAAATCGCTGCGCGGCGTTGGGGCGAGACCAAAACGTAGCCCTCCTTCGCGCAGCCAACTGTTCGATGAGCGCCTCGCCGAAGCAGCGCTGCCACTTTCAAGCACCATCTGAGCACTCAACCGCTCTCGCGCGGCCTCGCTGCCGCTACCGCTTTCCCGCAGCTCGGTGACCAAGGGCGCCCTCGAGGGCGCGAAGTTACTCGCGCTTCGCGGTTCGGCTCCGATTCCTCATCCTCCTCTTCTCCTGTGGCAGGCGGCGCGAGAGCGCGAAGTTATTCGCACTTCGCGCTCCGCGCAGTGCGAAGCGCGAAGTTGGGAGCCCTTGGTGGCCGAAAAACATTCGCCGAGCCAGAGCGGGAACGTCACACCAGGCGAAACATTTGCACGGGGTTTTCAGGGCGCGGATGGCATTTCGCCCGCTCGCGCTCGGACCCGCTTCCAAGGTTTTGCCCAGTAAGAGATGTGCGCCGCGCCTAAGCTAAGGGGCGGCAAAGAGGGGGGTGATGACTAGGGGGGGGGGATGTCATGGCGTGGGCCATGATATTTCCCCAGATTTCATGGCGCCTCTTTTTGTTCCATTACGTCCCTGGCCCCCCCCCCCCATCCCTGGGCCGCGCACATGCCGCTGGCCATGAGTTGCCCCCACCCCCCTCTTGGACGCCTCCCTCTTGGCCGCTCCCGACCTAAGCGAGAGGGCCACCTTCAGGGGAAGGCCGCGCGGCGCCGAGGCGAGAGCGGCGTCTCGCCCGCTCGTGCACGACCCTGCTGCCTGAGCACTGGCGGGCGGAAGCTGTGCGCCGCGCCCGCGGGAAGTCGGTTCTGAGTTTCGGGTACGCGCTGCCCGACGTCGGCGGCGGATCGCTCGGCTTTTTGAAGGTCACGCGGACTGTACATGCTGGTGTGTTAGTGGGATGGCAGGTTGCGGTGCTGTCCCCCCTTCCAGGTGGCAGAGTGGCAGCGCGCACGAGTCAGGAAGCCGGCTTGAGGGGGGAGGAGGAGGCTGAGGCGGTGGAGGGGAAGGAGGAGGACGGATGAGCAGAATCTGAGCGGGATCGGAAAGGAGGAGGAAGAGGAGGAGGAAGAGTTGGAGGACGATTTGGACAAATTAGAGTTTGAGGGTGCCCGATCCGATCGCCCTCTCTTTGTTCATCCCTCTCCCCGTACCTCTTCTCTTTATGTCCATGTGTACACACGTAGAGGAGTTCTTTGGCCTGTGGCCCCGGAGACTGGGACTGACTGTCATTGAGCTCTGAATGCGGTCCCAGCGTTTAGCATGCCGCCCCCCGCCAACTTCGGGACATCCCTGACATGAATCGTGCCCCAATGGAGCTCTTCATGTGGCCCTAGCGGAGAGCTGGGATGCCGCCCCCTGCCAACGGCACATCCCCTACATGGATCGTGCCCACAGGGGGGCTCCGCCTGTGGCCCTCACCTCAAGAGGCAGCCCCGTGCCACACCGTCAATTTCGGCACACCCTTCTGTCGCATCGTGCCCCACGAGGAACTCATGCGGCCCCAGTGCGCAAGCTCGCACGCGGGTCCCTGCCAGTGTCAGCACACCTCTGACCCACATCGCGCCCCACGGGGGTGCCGCCCCCCCTCCACCCCGAACGATTCCGGCACGCTCCTCCTCTTCCTCCTCCTCCTCCTCCGCCTCCTCCTCCTCTCCCTCTTCCTCCTCCTCCTGCTCCTCCTCCTCCTCCTCCTCCTCCTCGTCCTCCTCCTCCTCCTCCTCCTCCTCCCTCTTCGATCATGCCCCACGGGGAGCTCCGCGCCTAGCTCCTGTAGGCATGGCTCGCTGGCGGGCCCCGCCCAGTTCGACGCACCCCTCGCGCGGATCGTGCTCGACGGGGAGCTCCACCTGCGCTCCGGCGGGCAAGTCCACGCGCGGGCCCCCGCCTGCTGCAATATGCCCCTCAATTTAAGTCGGGCCTGTCCCTCTACAGGAGGATTATTCAAAAATAGTCAAAAAAATAGTCAGGGAACGATGTTTGGGGATGTTAGGGTATTGTTTGACTATCTCTTATGTTTCGCCCAAAATCCCCATGTAGGAGGACGGGCCCTACCTAACAATACATCCCTCAAGTGGCCCAGTCTCTCCCCCTGGACCTCATTCTCTTCGCCACCCCATCATCCTGCTCTCCTACAGTCAACCCGCGTAGTAAGGATGATCGACGTTCCAAGGGTAGCCTTGCATCCTTACCTCTTCAAACATCTTCAGTCCATCCTCCACCGCTTTCGATGGCCAGCCCCGCTCGAAGAGCCTCGGCATGGGCGCCCAAGGCCGTTGCATCTTCATCAGATGGATTGACCGTACCCCTCTTCAGCGTTACAGAGCCGAGGCGGCTGGCGATGAGGAGAATTTGGAGGGGGTGGTCGAGGATCCATGACCCAGCAGGAGCGGATCGAGGATCAGGGATCGAGAATGGGGAGGATCGACCTTTCCCGTGTCAGCAGCTCCGCGATTGAGAGTAAGTTCGACAATCAATACGGCGGGTAGCGCATAGCGTACACCCCGATGCATACATGATTTGCTATCACCATCGCCAGGACACAAACACAACCAACATTGACTGACTAGCGTCACGGCGCGATGCGGATCAATGTCGTCGTATAGTCGAAACGTGTGTTTGCATGAATGGGAAGTCATGATTGCATGATTACACGTGCAGATCCGTACCGCTTCCGAAGAAACCACGTTTGGAACCATTCGGAGCCATCATCATCCATGATGCTGGGCGTACCGGTGGTGGGAAGCTAATGATTGCTGCTGCTGCCACCCTTGTTAGAACTACTTGTCCTAGCTGCGGTGTCAGATTTGTCGTTGCCGTCGCTGCGCAGCCCAAGGTCCAGACTTGCCGCGCCTTATCATCGCCAACTACGTTAACAGCCCCACCAATTGCGTCGCCTCGCTGGAGTACTACGGGGTACATGGCCCAGCGGTTGGCTGTTGGCACGGCGCAAGTTGGAGAGGGCCGTTGGCGGTTTTGATTGTTGGACCCCCCCGCGCTCCCTTGCGTCCGACGTGGTGGATATCTCCTCCTGCAGTTGTTCAACCACCTGCTTGCCTTTAGTAGGTGACAGGTCCACGACGGAGGTGGTATGTTTTTTGCTGCGCTAGCCTTCTAAGTTCCGCTTTAGTTGTAAAGCCTCTAACCTGGAGGACTCATAGTGTCCATTCTTTTCAGCCTCGGAGTGGCCGCAGAGCAGCCTGTGGAAATTCAGGGAGTCGACTGGGAACTAACTATATTGGGCGATCTTCGAGCCATCTTGAGGCCTCAGCTGGCGATCAAAGTGGCACAGCATAAACGTGTTTCTTGACGCGTTGTAGAATTCTTGGGTGTACCTCAGGGACTGCAACGGACCATCTTTGGCCACCTTGGGGTTATCCCAGGGTCTCTAGGGCGTATTTTGGTGGTGCCATATGGGGGCCCTGCCGCCCATTAATCCTCACTCTGAGAGCCATCTTCGGGCGCTCCTGAGGTGCTCTGGGGGGACATCGGCGCCCTCTTGGTGCCCTTCCGAGGTCCACTTGGAGCTATCGTAGGCGATCTTGGAACCGTCTGGAGGCCTCCGAAGGCCATCGGAAGCGAAACGGCGAGAACGCTGCCATCATTTGACAACTAATGGTGTTTGAATGAGCATGGCCTCTTGGTGGCATCTTCGGTAGGTTCCGCGGCCAGGTGGAGCCGACTTGCGACGGTCTTGTGGCCTCTCGGACGCATTTGGATGATATTTGGCTGTCAGCGACACCCGGGTGGCCGTGTCAGACGCGTCTTGACGTCCCGGTTGGGCTGGGCTGGTCGGGCTGGCAGGGTACATGGTTTCAATGTTGTTGCCTTTTTGCCTCCACTCCACTGGTCCCCAATACTTTCGGCGGATTGTCTTTTCAGGTCGGGGACCCCATATTTCTTGACCCTTCCCCTTCACATGTTTGATGGTCCCGGAGCCCCGAAACATGTTTGGATTGGGCCAACACTTCCCACCCAACATCATACGCCCCACTACCCAGTCACCCCGCCCTCCCACTTCTCCGAACCCTGGTCGTCGTCAGAGCAAAAAGAAAATAATGGGCATGCGGAGCGAGTCTTGATACTACTTTGAGATGTTCGAGGCACGTCTCGGCGTTGGTAGGGAATGAATGTTCTGCACCGAGACGGGAGGCACAGGGAGTAGGTGGATACGAGCAGGAGGAGGAGGCGGAGGAAAGTAAGGAGGAACAGGACGCGTAGGAGAAGAGAGGGACAGACCCACGCCCGCCGTATAATCAGGGAGGAAAAGCAGGGTGGAGGAGCAACAGCAGCAGAGAGAGGACGACGAGGGGGATGGGGACGAGTATGAGAGAGTTGGGGTCAGGAGCGGGGAAAGGAGTGGGAGCAGGAGTGTCAGGAGGAGGCGGGGGGGGAACGGGGCAGCGGGACCGTAGGGGAGTAGGGGGAGGAGGACGCAGACCATGACGCCACCACCAAGGGGCAGGCCCCGAGGTGGTGGTCCACTTCGGTGACATCAGCCCCTAGCCAGCAGCAGGGGCAAGATGAGAGGCCTGCCTCCCCGCGCGCCGGCCGATCCGGCCTCGCCTTCCAGTCGCGACTGCACGCCGTAGCAGTCCACGTATGCGGCGGGGAGGGGGGGGGAAGGGCGACGACGACAGGGCAGGCCAAACAAAGACACCGAGAACCAGTCTAGTCAGAGTCATCCGAGCGCCCACGCACTCGGGCTGGCCAAGACGGGGCCGCAGCAGTTCGAGGCGAAATCACGACTATCTTCACCTTCACGCAACTCGGCCACCACGATACTTACACCCGTTCTGGGGTGCTTCCCCCGCTTGGTACGCCTAACCTTCATCTTCTGGCTGGCCAGAGTGCTGGGCACGACAGACGGGCGCATGCTGCCGAGTGTGCCGTGAGCAACGCAGCGCTTGCAGCAATACACAGCACCGACAGCAGTGCCATTATGCCCGAGAGCCTGGACAGGGTCGGGCGCTCGAGGAGAGGCAGGCACGGGCGAGCCGTCGGGAGTGGCCGTTCCACCGAGCTCCGCCGCCAGCCTGGCCACGACCTCCGCCTCGGCCTCGTCGGCCGCCTCCGGGGCAAGCCTCACCGCCTCCGAGCGAACGGGCGAGAACGACCCACCGAAGCTGCGAGACCGGCGGTCCCACACGTGCCGCTGGAACCGGGGAGGGAAGACTCCGGGCGGGCATCCCTGTGGCACAGAAAAGGGCTCTGAGCGAGGTGGCATCTTTGGCGCAACGCCCACAGTCCCTGCATCTCCACTCCGCGAGGGCAGCAGCGTGCCACACATTGCGGGTGGTGACAGACAGGGGGGGGAGGGGACTAAGAGCAAAGTCGGGATCCGTCGCCGTCTATCTTTGCGCCTTCAGCGGCCGCTGGGCCGCCCAAGCAAGAGTCTGCAACGTGGATCGATGATAGCGGAGCTCGCCAGCGACAGGTTTCGCGAACCCACTTGTGGCAGAGTGTTTGGGGGCCCCGATGTTGGCAAACAAGTCAGCCCGCAGGTCCCCCGCCCACAGACGTGAGCACAACCCCCGCTCAACGGCATCGTCAAAACTTACATGTCAGGAGGGGAAAAACACACAGACAAAATTAATCGTCCACTCCCAGGAAAAGATTGGAAAATATGGGGATTGGGGGGGAAGACAAAAACCAAGGAACTCTAGGAAAATATGGGGAATCCGTTTATCTGTGTGTATTTATTTGTGTGTCCCAGGGCCCCGTCAACATGGTCGGGGCACCATCTGAATTGAGGCTGCAACATTCCAGGGATCGAGCACACCTGCCTCCCAGTCCCCGCGTGCTCGGCCGTGCCGAGCGTCAGCTCGTGGTCCCAAGAGCTGCCCTCACGCAACACAGCCCGCATAGAAAGGATGGACAACTTTCGCAAGGGTACCCTTGCATCCTTGCCCCTTCTGCCAGGTGCTTCGACGGCACGACCAACGAAGCACCTGGTGACGACCCTAATGCAACCGACAGTAGCGACGACGCAGACAGCCACGCAGCACAACAAGACGCAGCAGACCTACACAGCGATAGCAACGACAATGACGACGACAACGAGGACACGCTAGAGCCCTGGGTCGAGTATATATAGCGAGCAACACGGAGTGCAGAGCAGCTCATGCAGCACCACCAAGTCGCAAATTGGGAGACGGCTCGCAGACACAAGTCGTGGCGTATGGCGTCGAGGGTTGTTAGCCATGACCCCACCAGGTGGACGTGGTGCGCACTCCACTGGCAACCAGGAAAGAACCCACGCCAACGCGGACAACGACAGCAAGGCGGCCAGCGAAAACGCTGGGAAGACGACTTCGTCAAGTTCCTCCAACAAAACAACCCCGACTAGCATCCAACGTCCACACCGACTACAAAAGGCCAACCCAACGATTTCACTTGGATTCGCACGGCCCAGGACACCACCACCTGGTCGACACTCGAACGGCAATGCGCACACCCCACGTAACGACACTACGCCGACATCCACATCCAGGACTTCCCTCCTCCCCTCCTCCGTCGCAGATTAGTTTTTTTATTGTCTCGCTTTCCATAAGCAAGATCGCGTGTAGTCCATACGTGCAGGTTTGAAGAGGCTACGGCCTCCTCCACCAAGTTTCGAGCAGGCCCGGACAGCTGTCCGCAGTGGTGGTTTTCTCTCTCTCTCTCTCTCTCTCTCTCTCCCTTCTGCCCACCCTTGGCGACGTTCGCTGGCCAACCTCGTCCGAAAATCGTCAACATCGCCTTCGAAGGCCGTTGCATCCTTACCGCGCATCCTTACTGTCCAGGTTGACTGTAACCCACGAAGCACCGCCCATCTTTCAGCGATAGCCTGACGCGGGCCTGGGAGGGCTCCGCAGAGGGCTCCAATAGGGAGCGGGGCGGGGCACAGCTGCACACCAGCCCAGCCAGCCCTCGCCACCTCAGGGATCGAGCCATGCAGGCAGCTAGCGTCCAACAAGGCATCAGGCCCCAAAGGGCCAGACACACTACCAAACCTCAAGCCAGCAGGGAGGCCCTCAGAGGCCTGAGGAGGAACGGACAAAGCTGAGAGGCCGAGCCTGAGGCAGGTCCTGTCAACCTGAGGCCCCCCCGCAGGCGCCCAAGCTAGCACTAATTAGGGCAGCCCTGTGCTCGCTCAACCTGTCGGGAATGTCCTCACCCATGTGATCAAAGCCCTCACCCGATACAAACCTGGGGCAACAATACCACGCGTGGCCATACGTACCCTCGGGGTGGAAGCAAGCCAGGGAGCCCACACACACACACCGTACTTGAGATGGACAAGTGCAACAGGTGGGGGAACAACATTGGCCCACACCGCAGACACGGCATTTTCTGCTTAGGACATGTTACCCTTTTGGTAACATGGCGTAGCGCCCTGCGCCACACACTACACGCGCCGTCGGAGGTGCTCATGTTCCTGAGTAGGCGTTTGTACTGCCATCGTGGGATGCCCCCTTCTGAGTGTCAGTATGATGCCATACGCATGCGCGGCCAAGAATGAATAGACGTGTCAGTGTCATTGTGCAGGGTGTGCGCAGTGACTATAGTCCAGCCGATGTGCAGGAGGGAACGCCAGACGGCTGACGTAGGCCCTCGGGCCTGCTGCCACGTCGGGTTAGCCAGTAAAGTCCCGCGTAGGTTCAACCAGGCCCGCTGGGCCCTGCTCGTCTCCACCCTGCCGCCCCACACGAACGTAGAGTACTTAGCAACAGCCCCCAGCGCGCAGTCGTGCATCGGGTCGTACAGGGGGCAAGCGCGCATGATGAACCCAGTGGCGCCCCCGCGCCTTTTGCCGCCAACCAGTGTAAGAACCATTCGGCGCAGGTGCCTTAAGGTGGTGACAGAAACACCAGACACTGCCCCTCCGTGTCCAGCAGCGGGAAGGGTTCCAACACGCCAGAGAGCAGCGGCACGCCTACCCTCTGCTGACTTGGGGGCAAGCAGTTGTCTTCGCCTGTCCTTCAGGGCCTGCGCCCGCTTCTTCTCCTGCGTGCGCGTGGCCCTGCCTCCCGCTAACATGCGCCCAAGATTCCTCATCCACCTACGCAGTGGCAGAGCAAGGCGAGACGCAACGGTGGCCGTGCACCAGGGGCTTCTTCCGAAGCCAGCCACGAGGCCAGACTTCTTGGCTTGCGTCCAGCGGCCGAGACCAAAAGCGCCTGCCGTGAAACTCTTGACCGCGCGTTCCAGCTGGGGGGTGCCCAGCTTGGGCGAGGGCGCCAGCAGCAGGGGCAAGTTGCCCACAGGCGCGCGAGGCGTCACCTGCGGATAAAAGCTGTCGAGTGTCTTGACAGCTCGCAAAGTGATGAGGAAAATCACGCCAGTGGCGTGGTTGCATCCTGCGAGGATGCTTCGATGCGCAACAACAGCGACGCAGAGGCCCAAACGCCTTGAGGCGCACGCACGTCCATTTAGCATCCAAGCAAGGAGCGTGGGGAAGTCTGGGGCTCTCGCCTCTTGAGGCAGTCGCTCCGATGAAATGGTTTCGACGCGTTTCATCATGTCGAGCAGCACTGACAGAGGGGCATCTCCGACCAGCCCAGCTATCTTTGCAGAGGGGTTGCGCGAAAACGCACTGTCGGACGAGCTGTGGCGCCCCCGAGTGCTCCAGATCTTCGAGCAGCTGCGCCGATCCTGCTACTCTAACGTCAAAGTCTGCCTAACCTTATTCCAGACTGCAGCTGCTGCTGACCGATGGGATGAGGCGCGTACCTCCGTCAGGCTTGGCCAGCCTTATCATGCCGTTGACCGCCCTCCTCTCAGGCCACCCCTCATATTGTTCTCAGAGCTGAAGGATCACCGCCAGCGCTTCAATGGCGGCGGCCGGCAGATGAAGCGACGCTCTGGGTTGAAGGGCGTTGAGGCCTGCAGCGGCGCGCGCAGGATGCGAGCGCGCCGCATCTTGCACTCGCTGCGCAGTGATAGGGGGCGGTCGGGCCGGCGGCCCGAATCCAACGGTGCCGGAAGAGGCTCGGCGCGGCCACCTGAGCGGTCTGAATTTAGCCCATGGCCGAAGCGCATCAGCAGCCGGCGAAAGCGGAGCGGCAGGGGCGCCGGCTGAGAGGATCTTTTGGGCCGCTTTGACCTTTGAAAATCTGCGCGCCTTGGGCGCGCCCGATTGGATGGCTTCGCGGGCCCGCGCGAGCCACGCGTTGATGGAAGCACTCTCAGCCTTGGCGATGACAGCCTTGACTCGAGTATAAATGCCCGCGGCCTCGTTGGCAAAGTCAGGCCCAGCCGGCGCAGCGACCCCCATCTCCAGAAACCGTCGGGCAATTTCTTCGAGATGCGATATTTTTGCGGCGGGGGTGCACAATCTCGCTCGGAGAAGTGACGAATTCTGCCAGGGGCTGCAACGGCTCAGAATATCGCATAGACATCGGCGAGCATGGGGCGCTGGCGCTCGGGAGGATGGAGGCCAACCTCCTTCGCGAGGTACTGCCGCATCCTAGCGATATGCTTGGTCCAACCCAGAGCGGTGGCTCTGGCGCGAGCACTCGGCTTCTTATGTGTCCTCTTTCGGGGCGGGGCCCGCGCCAGCTTCTGCCGGCGGACCGCCTGAGGTCCACCGCGGCGAGCGCGAGCCTCGGCGCGGGCCCCGACGGCGCCCCAACGCCCGGCGAGTTCGATTTTCAATGCCCTCGGGTACCATATCCTAAACTTCGCACGGCGTTCCCCGCGACTGAACCTGCGGCGCCGCAGCCTGCGCCGCTGCCTTCCGCGGGGAGGCTGGCGGAGGCGCGCATCCAATGGGCGGCGCCGCAGGAGATGTCTTGGGATTCTGAGCCGCTCTCGCCCAGACTGGCCCAGGGCGACTTCCAATGTCTATCGAGACAGACAGGTGCGGACACGCAGTGGCGGTCTCGTCCGCCGCGGCCCCCGCCTGGAGCTCGGGCAGCAGCCGGCTCGAACGCGGCGAATGCTCGTGGACGTGGCCTGGCGCCAACGCGCGGTTGCCGGGGGGCGCAAGTGCACCGCGCCAACTCTGGCGAGCAAATCCGACAGGTCGAGAGTGCTGCTGTCCATGCCCCAGTCGCCTCGGGCGATCCAAGGCAATTGCGAGCCATTGAGGGGGCGGAGGTACTCCGCGAGGCGCCGCGCCACCCATGCAGTCTGAGGCCCAACCGCCCCTCCGCCCTTAGAATAGATCGACGCGAACACAGCGCCACCAGGCAACAAGGAGTGCACGTGCGCTGCTACAGCTCGCCCCGGGATTATCTCAGGCGTGAGCGAGCGTGGCGGAGCTGTGACCGTGATGCGTGACTGCGCTAGCGCCGCCACTCCGCCCGTGGCCCAGGGCCGCCAGATTCGCTGGGTATGGCAGCATTCCATCTGCCAAGATAGCCAGTGTCATCTTCTTGGTCCTGCCGATCAGAGATCAGGTCGACAGGCACATGCAACCCTTGTGCAAGGACGACATGTGTGCTCGCAACGTCAAGACAATCAACTCACGGCCCGAGGTCGCTGGTGTTCAATGTAACGACCGCAACGCAATTGCATGTCGTGGGCGGCTTTCTTTGCGGAGGCTTGGGAGCATATCTCCCGCCGTGCCACCGACCTCGTCGTGATGGATGTGTGTCAGCGTGTCTACCCAAATTGGACGTCGTCGCCTTCGCAGAAGTAGAAGTCGACGCGATTGCATCCGAGTCCAACCCAGACACAGCCGCTTCATCCACCGGAAGCCGACCACCACGTGAGACGAGATTTGGGTGTCCATAAACTTGAGGGGGAGCAGCAGGCCCCCTCCCTGAAAGCACGAAATCCGACATCATGGCGACACAGAGGAGCTCGAGTACACTACGCCACTGCGCGTGATGCCTTGAACTTCTTGGCCACGGACGCGACAGAGCCGAAGTGCCTCTTCAGCCGATCACGCATCTCTGGCGCTGACAGCTTGCCGTTCTCCGTGCTTTCATCGACCTCGAATCCGCAGGCCTTGAGATGCTCGCGACACGTCGCCCCGTCCAGGGAGTCCACGTGCGCATCGGCCAAAGCAGCATCAACACACATGCGGCCCCAAAATACCGAGGCAGGCGGCGTAGGCGGCACCTCACCTTTTCGGGCCTCGAGCGCAGCAGCCAGCGCCATCTGGACCGCACGGGCCTGCTTGAGCTTAGCCGCCACCTGCGCCATGGACTGCAGCTCCTCCGGAAACTGGGACGTGCCACCGAGAGCTCGGATGACAACGTCGAACTGAGCCACCGTCGCCTCGATCCTCCAGCCCTGGGATGAACGTCGCCTGGGTTTCGGCTGGAAGCGCCACGTGCACCGCCTGCCGAAGCTTCTCGGTGGTCTCAATGACGAGCTGCTCTGCCTTGGCCTCATCCTGCTCGTCCTGCTGGGGCACCTCGCGTGCCTTGTCCAAAGCCGTGCGAGCCGCTAGCACGCGCTGGGTGGCGACGGTCTTCTTGGCCTTGGCGCTCTTGAGCAGACCGTCGAGGGAGCCGACGTCTTGCTCGATTGGCCTGTCGGCTTGCAGCACGCCACGTCATCTTGGTCTTCGGGGCCCAGCAGCAACAAGCAACAACATACTTTCGACACCGTCGAGACGCTTACGATTGTCACACTCACTTCAGGTTCTGCCCAAGGAGGCTCGGGTTCACCAGCTGCTGCAGCGGCGCCCCCACGCGCGGCGGCCACCTCCTTCCGGAGCTCGGCGAGCTGATGGGACAGCTCCTCTCAGGCGAGGAAGAAACACACAGACACAATTAATCTTCGATGCCTAAGAAAATATGGGAAAATATGGGAAGTTGGGGGAAGACAGAAACCCAGAAAATATGGGAAAATATGGGGAATCGTTTTATTTGTGTGTATTTATTTGTGTGTCCCAGGGCCCCTTCAAACTTCTTGGCGGCCTCTGTGCGCACCGCTTACACAACCAAGCCTCGGCTTGGGCTGCGTTGCGCCGCCTGGGCGCCATGGCGGCAGCAGGAGGGCGAGCCGCGCAAGGAGGCGCGGGCGCCCCGTCATGACAAGGGAGCCCGTGACGCCGGGCAGGCTGACACAGGGGTGCGGGAAAGAGCGTCTCCAGGTCGCCCAGATGGGGTCCGAGTAGATGGGGTCGGAGGATCGCGCCGCATCGCCGATGCATCGACGATGCGGCTCTATGCGGAGCCCGATTTTCCCCACGCTGGCGTCGTCGATACATCGCCGACGTCGACGCCTCATCGCCGGTGCATCGCCGATGAATCGCCGATGTATCGCCAATGTATCGGCGATGCGGCGCGGTCCTCCGACCCAATCTACTCCGACCCCATCTGGGAGGCCTCTAGTGTCGGGCACAAGACCCTGGCACTGCCGCGGACTAGCGGTATGAATTTTCCTCAGCGACAATATGAAAACATGGAGCCAAAATGGCTACGCAGGAGTGGATGAGGAGGAGGGTCGAGGAGGAGGAGGAGGAGGAGGAGGAGGGGGAGGAGGAGGAGGAGGAGGAGGAGGAGCAGAGCCCTGCAACTCGCACCGTCCTCGTGCATCGCTTCCCCCTCTTGGCTTTCACGGCTCCCCGTGGCGCGTAGTTGCGCCGGGGGTTTTACCCCTGTGTCCTCGTCCTGGTCCTCCTCCTTCCCCCCCTCCCTCATCCTTCATCCCTCCCCTTCCCCCTTCCTCATCCTCCTCTTTCACTGTTCACTCTCTTCGCTGGGAGCAGGCGCAGTAGCATCAGCAGGATCAACTGGAAACAGCGAGGCCCACCAGCATCTGTAAGCCATCGGTCCGTAGCCATTTTGCCGCAAGCCTCCGGGCTCCATCCTGGCTGTACGCTACTTGCCCGAGACCCAGCATAGCTTGGGTACCGGATTCACATCTGCAGACCGTGTAATTCTCGCGATGGCGATGAGGGCACTGCTGACGCTGTTCGCCCTGTCCTCCGTGGCCTCTTCCCTAACGCTGCATGCCAGAGAGGAGGCTGTGGATGAGTACACCTCAGTCAGCGGTCTCCTCTCCGAGGCGGAGGCGCTCCTGCAGGAGGAGATGGCCAGCGACCGCGAGGCGGCCGAGGCTCTAGGCCTCCCAGATTGGGGCACCGTGGATGGGTTCGGAGGACTGCGCCGCATCGCCGATGCATCGACGATGCGGCTCGACGGGGAGCCCGATGGTCTCCACGCCGACGTCGCCGATGCATCGGTGATGCATCTCCGATGCATCGAAGATGCTGCGCGATCGTCCGACCCCGTCCACCCCGACCCCATCTGGGAAGTCTCTAGAGGAGGAGATCGCACTGCTGCAGGAGGTCGACGCCGACGAGAGAGTGGCCGAGGAGGATCGGCGATCGACGTTCGAGTCATATACCGCTACTGCTCCCTACTCTGGGCGCCAGTTGCACCAAGTTACGGACACAAACCGCGGCCACGGATGCCAGAATTCTATCCATATTTACACTCTGGCCCCTCGTGGGGGTTGGGGCGTGAGCAAGGGAGTGGATTCAAAGTTCGAGTGGGGGATCGACAGCAGAACTGATTCACCCCAAAGTTGATTCTCCGCCGAATTCATCAAACAAGAAAACGTCTGATGCTCCGTAGATCCATAGAGCCTTTCACGCACTCTTTGCAGCTTTGACGAAGCTTTCAAGTCTGGGGTATAGTCGACCCGCGCAGTAAGGATGGGCAACCTTGCCAAGGGTGCCCTCGCATCCTTGCCTCATCGGCCCATCCTTGGCCACCTCCGCTGGCTGTGCCCCGCTCGACAAGCTTCGAGGTGGCCTCCCAAGGCCCTTGCATCCTCATCGCGCATCCTTACGACACGGGCCGACTGTACATCAGCTTTGCATTATGTTGTTCCCATCCTACTTAAGGACCGCATCCCAGCAATAATTTCGAGCACCCGGAAAAGTGTCAAAAGAGTGTCGAAACAGTGTCGAAACAGCGTCGGGCGAGTGTCTCCCAGGGCCCGACAGGTGAAAACCCTTGAGTTTCGATACTTTTTCGGGCGCTCGAGATTCTTCCTGGTGATCAAGGCAAAAGTAGGTTGGAACATCCTCAGCTCTGCGGCCGCTCCCCTGCCCGAAGTGCCCACCGCCCGGAGGAGCTGGAGGCGGACAGCGACCCCGAGGCGCCCGTGGCCGAGGCCGCCCCGGCGGCCGAGGAGCCGGCCGCCGAGGCGCCCGCCGCCGCGGCCGCCCCGGCGGCCGAGGCCGCCCGGGCGGCCGAGGGGGCCGCCGCGGAGGGCGCCGAGGGTGCCGCGGCCAACGCGTCGTGGAACGCCACGGAGGTGCAGGCCAGTGCTCGGCCACGCGCGCGGGGAGGAATGATGAGAGGGAGGAGGAGGAGAAGGAGGAGGAGGAGGAGGAGGAGGAGGAGGAGGGGGAGGGGGAGGAGGAGGACCAGCACGCATCGGGGGTGGATAGATCGGGGGCGGCAAAGAGGGGGGTGAGGACTAGGGGGGGGGTGGATATCATGGTGGGGGCCATGCTATCTCCCCGGATTTCATGGCGCCTCTTGTTGTTTCGTTACGTCCCTGGTCCCCCCGCTGGGCCGCGCACATGCCGCCAGTCATGATTTGCACCCCCCCTCTTGGACGCCCCCTCTTGGCCGCTCCCGAGATAGACCTCCTACCCTGACACGTCGATTCAGGAATCGGCCGTTTTCGGTTCGCGGGAGGGCGTCGCGGCCCTCATTTCTGCGGGTCCAGGTCCGTCGGTTTCGGTCCCGGCCGTTTTCATTAAGGGGAGGTCTATTGAAGGGAGGCTTGTCCAGCGCCGGTGCTCGGCCAAGCGCGCGGGGGGGGTCATCGTCTCGGGGCATCCTGGATGGGGCCATCCAGGAGGCTTCTATTCTTCAGAGGAGGAACACAGGTACCGACGTGCCTCGACGCGCACGAGATGGGTACGGAAAGAATGGGTAGAATGCCCCACAGCAGTTCCTGTTCATTTTGAACAGGACTCGCTGTCCGCGCCGCCGCGGCTGTGTCCGTTTGAGACAGAAGGCCGCCTGCCCAACAGCAGCCGCTTTTGGTGTGGGACAACGTTTGTTGTTGGGCATCGTACCCATTTTTTCCGTACCCGTCTCGGGCATCCAAAATACCGTAAAATCGGGCTTGTCCTTCTAAAGGGGGGACATTCAAAAATAGCCCAACAGATAATGAAATAGTCCCGAAAAAAATAATGAAATAGTCCGGGGGCTATTTTCCTGATCATCTGTTTTACCATTTGGGGGTATGCGTGGAGTGTTTTTGTTTCCCCGTCGAGAATCCCCCTGTGGGGGGACACGCCCGACTTGCAAATACCGCTGCCCTCGAGGGCAGCAGCCGGGGGAAACGAGTGGATCCGCTTGTCTCCCCCTGCTGCCAAGGCCTCCCTGGGCGGCCCTCGCCTCGAGCTGCTGGGCGGAGAGTGCCACCGGCCGAGAGGTCCCCCGGGCGGGTGGCGGTGCCAGTAGGTTTCCCCGCGCGCAGGGGGGGCAGCGGCAGGGGGGCCAAGACAAAACGCAGGCACCTCGAGACTTCGCGGGGAGGGAGATTTTGGGGTAGGGTTTTACCAGGGTTCAGAGCCCCGAATCATCAGGGGTAACTCGGGTCAGGGCTAACTCGGGTTCGTTTTTCGGGAATCCGAACCCGACTTACCCCGGACCCGAGTAACCCCGGATAATTCGGGCGTCCAGAGCCCCGAATCATCAGGGGTAACTCGGGTCAGGGGTAACTCGGGTTCTTTTTTCGGAAATCCAAACCCGAGTTACCCCGGACCCGAGTTACCCCGGATAACTCGGGCGCCCAAAGGGTGACGACGACGAGCGCAAAACATACCCCGAAATCTTTGGCCGATCGTCGAACCCTCGGCGAATCCGCGATTTTGGGGTGGGGGATGTGTTTTTTCGTGGTCAGTATAAGGAGGGGGAAAAACACGCAGGCACAAGTGATCGTCGACTCGCAGAAAATAGGGGAAAATGTAGGAAGTGAGGCAAAAACCCAGAAAATATGGGAAAACGTGGGGAACCCTGTTATTTGTGTGCACTTATGGCGAAGGCCTTACGGCCCGTGCCGCCGACCCTGGAGGCCACGAATATGGAAACGCGGGGGGGGGGGAGGAGGAGGAGGTGGAGAGGGAGGAAGGGTGGAGGAGGCAGTTGAGGGAGCAGCGGGGGAGAATGATGAGGAGGAGGAGCAGGAGGAGCAGGAGGAGGAGCAGGCACAGGAGGGGCACGAAGAGGGAGAGCAACGGTGAAGGTGGAGGAGGAGGCAGGAAACAATCAAATCATGACAGAACTTTCGGGGCTCTCCCTGGCCCCCTCCTGGAGCATCCCCGGGACTTGTTTCCAGGATTTACCTACGGTCCCCCCCCGCACGCAGGAGGAGGAGGAGGAGGAGGAGGAGGTGGAGGAGGAGAAGCAGGAGCAGGAGGAGGATCGCCCTGGTACCCCCTGGGACGCCCCCCCTCCACCCCCAGCGGTGAAGGGATAGAGGGAGTTCGGGAGTTCTCGGGGGGGCCTCTTTGGGGTAGTTCTGGGGCCTCTTGGGAGGCTGTTGGGGGCCGCTTGGGAGCCTCGTGGGGGCCTCTTGGAGCTTCGTGGGGGTCTCTTGGGAGCCTCTTGGGGCTTCGTGGGGAGCTTCTTTGGGGCCTCTGGGGGCCTCCTGGGAGCTTCTTAGGCCGAGGGTTCGAAATGTCCAGTCGAGTCTCCAGTCTGGGCTCTCTCTTGGAGCCGTCTTGGGGACCTCTTGGGCTATCTTGGAGGCGTCTTGGGCGATATTGGGGCGGTCTTGGGGGCCTCTTGGCCTGTCTTAAAGCTTCCCGGCAAGAATGCCCAATTCTTTCAAAACCTAAGGGAAATCTGTGATTTTTGCTTCTTGGGGCTCTCTTGGGAGTGCCCTTGGATTGGGAATTTCCGAAGCTGTCTGGAGGCTATCGCGACTTGGACCCATACTTCGGCGATTCGGAGCCCTCGAGGACATTCTTGGGGGCCTCTCGGGGCACTTTTGCTACGTCTTGGGGATTGTCTGGGCTCCAGAACCGCCCGGAGGGGAGTCGTATCTGACCCGGGACCCCCCCCGGGACATCCCCCAGGACCCCCCCTGGGACCCCCCCCCGGCGGGGAAGGATCAAAGGGAAGGGGCTTCCCTTCGACTCAGCTACAGCGCTGCTCAATTTGGCTGTGGCTGGCGCGCTCGAGGAGGAGGGCCCGGTGAAAGTGGAGGCAGCGGCGCCAGGCTCAGGGAAAGGGAGGGGACCAGCGACGGCGACAGCGACGACGATGACAACAACGACCACGACGACGACGAGGACGACGCCGACAGGGTCGGCGGATTTGTGTCTCCCAGGGCCTCTTAAGTGTATGCGCACAGGGTCTGAGAAGAGGACACGGCACAAGCGTACATCTTCGGAGCTCCGCGCGGATCCCTTGGATCGGCACTGGAGCCCCCAGGCGGCCCCTCTGGTGCCGCCCCTGGCGCGCTCCGCGCGCCAGGGGGCCCCCACCCAGCGCAGGTCCAGGAAATCTGCGCGGAACTTCGAAATGTGTATGTTTTTTTTTATGCCGCTTCGTGTTCCTCTCAAAGGAGGGGGGCATTGACCCCCAATCACCCATCCATCGCCGATTGGGGCCCCGATAGCCCCACACCGCCCAGGTATGTGCGGACTCGCGATGGGTGGCTTATCGCCGATCTATGGGCGATGCATCACCGATTCCAGATCGATGCATCCTCCCCGCATGCCAGTCCCCCCTGTGGCTGTCCCTCAAGTGGGGAGAGGGGGGAAGGCTTCTTAGAAGGAGACTACGTCTTAGAAGGCGCGGGCCTCCTCTGCTCGTCCCGGAGAGCCGTCGTCGCCCTGGCCAGATGCTCCTCGAAAGTCCTGTCAGAGTGCCCTGTCAGAGTGCACCCTCGGCGAGTTTCTAGGATCGGCGGTATCGGTACCTTTCGGTTTCCCCATGGGAGCCTTGGCATGGCAGGGCGGCGAGATCTATACATATCCCTGGCCCCAGGCCCAGCCCATCCTGGGCCCGGCAGCGGTGTGTGCGCCCTCCTGGCATGGAGAGGAGGGCACATACACACTGCTCCTGGGCCGAGGCGGTAGCAGCTCATGGGATCTAGGCCTCCCAGATGGGGTCGGAGCAGATGTGGTCGCAGGATCGCGCCGCATCGCCACTGCATCGGCGATGCGGCTCGACATGCAGCCCGGTTTTCTCCATACCGACGGCGCCGATGCTTCGCCGACGTCGCCGATGCATCGGCGATGCGGCGCCATCCTCCGACCCCCTCTAAACTCGTGGGGGCCTCGTTCATCCTCGCAGTTCCGTCACTAGGGTGCGTTGGCGTGCGTTTCCGCTTGGCAGTCGGTTGAGATCGGGGGCCACGTGCGAACCCTACCCCTACCCCCCACGACTTCTGAGGGGGAGGGTGGGGTGTACTTTGCTCGGGAGCTCCCGAACGAAGTGAACCCCACCCTCCCCCTCAGAACTCGTGGGGTAGGGGTAGGGCTCGCATGTGGCCCCCATGCGGGAGGCGCTGCTGTAGCGCCGATTTCGCCTTGATTCGCGTCGGCTTGCGTGGAGCAGCGTCGGTTCGCAAGAGCCGGCAGGCTGGCACGGGAGGCTCCAATGAGTTGCCACAGTCTAAGTCCTTGGGCAGCGGGGCCTCCGCTGCTCGAGGCCGGCGGCCAAGTTTGGGGTGGTGCCGGTGGCCGTGTCTCGGGGCGGCATCTCGAGGCACCTCGCAACGGCGGCGCGGATAACGCCCGGGGCGGGCCCGTGCCGCCGTTCGTGTTGCGAGGTCCGACTGCATGTGAATTCATGCAGGCACCTTCAAGGTGCCTGCATGAATTCAGCTTGTCAGGTCGCGCAATCAGGCACTGCGATCGCATCAAGATATGTTCAGAGGAAACAGAAAATCCTCAAAAAAAATCCACCGCTTCCCCCTCGAGGGGGTGCCGATGGTGAACCTTGGGCACCTCCCTTTAGGTTTTGTCGCCCAGGTGTTCTGTCCGGGAACAGAAGTTGCCACAGTCATGGGACCTAGGAAAGACCACCCGCACCGGACAATTGGCGTTTACGAAACGGCCTTGGGCGTTTATTGAACAGCCCTGCCCTGTCCGATTCCTGCTTTGGGCACGTTTGCTAAACGACTTCGCGCGTCGGGGTGGTTATTTCTGGGGCGGATTTTTGGACCTCTACACAATAGGCCGACGAGAACCAGAGCCGGGCCAACTTGTCCACGTACTTCGACCCGAAGTTGATGGCCATCTTCCGGGAGAAGCAGGCGCACCTGAAGGATCGGCGGCAAACGAGGGGGGGGAATGAGCAGGAGAAGGCCTTCTCAGAAGGCCGCGGGCCTTCTCTGAAGGCCTCCGGCCTCCTGAGAGGCTTTGTTGTGTCTGCTGGGAAGGCTCAGAAAACTTCTCAGAAGTCCGGGGGACTTCCGAGCCTTCTGAGAAGGCCCGCCCTTTCTCACTTCCCCCCCGCTCGCCGCCGAAAGGAGACCATGAAGGATTTCATGGTGTCGAAAAAGGAGCTGGACGTTGCCAAGCTGGCCGCGAACCTGGCGATGAAGAAGTTGAGGCTGGCGACCGAGAAGCGGAGGAAGATCCTAATGGGCGAGAGGATGGCCGAGGCCGAGGAGCGTCGGGCGATCAAGGAGAACCGCAGACAGGCGAAGACGGACATGACGGCGCGCGCGGAGCAGCTGCTGGAGGATTCTTTGGGCGGGCTCGCGGGCTTCAACATGAGCTACATGGTGGACGTTGTCCTTGCCTTGCCGGAGGCGCTGCAGGACGAGGAGTTCGTGGAGGACTTCCGCAACGTGACAAAGAGGGTAGACGTTAATGTCCGAAAGTTCTTGGACCAGACCCAGCAGAAGACCACCCAGTTCGTCAAAGACAGCACCTCCGCCTCTGACGTGGAGCTGCGCTTCATCATGGCGAAGTTCTTCCACGAGTCGGGTTTCCGCCTCCGAGGGCTGCACCAGGACAGCCTGAAGGCCATCCAGATGCTCAGGCGCACGGTGCCGGAAGACTTGGAGAGGGCGCTATTCCCGTTCCTCGGGCAGCTGAATGCCAACACGGTCCGCCTCAGGATCAATGCCACCAGCCTGGCTACGGCTACCCCGAAGGAGGCATGCGACCAGATCACCCAGATCATCCAGTTGCTTGCGGCAACCCCCGACACCATGCCATCGCAGGAGAACAGAAAATGAGCACCAAGACCCGCTCCGCTTCATCGCCGTGTCTAAACTCGTGCGGGTCTTGAAATCCTTGTTATTAACCGCAGACTCTTGTCCGCAGCCTCCTTCTCATCATCTTTTCCCATTCCTCCAATTTCTCCTCCCTCCTACCAAGATCTGAACTGGCGCGGACCAAGATCTGCACCATCGCTCTCCTTGCCCTTCCGCCTTGCTCATCGTTCCTCCTTAGCTTCTCCCCCTTCCTTTCCCTCTCGGAGGCATCTTGGAGACTTCTCGCGTCCTCATGGGCCTTTCTGAGGGCCTGTTGGGGGCCTTCTGATGGGGACCTCGGGGCTCGGTTGAACCATCCTGCGGATGTCTGGGCGGGCCGGGGCCGCTTTGGGGCCCTCTTGGGCTGTCTTGGAAGGTTATTTGGCAGTCTGGGAGCCATCTGGGTGCGTTTAAAGTTGGTTTTGAGATGTCGTGCAGCCGTTTTGGAGCGATTGTTGGCTTTCTTGGGCGCCGTCTGGAGGCCGAAGAGGCGCTGGAGAGCAACACCCAGGGGAGGGGGGCAATCTTCCGACCACGCGCTAGAACACCTACCGGAGCCTCACCAGACAGCACGCAGACTAGGACGCCCCAGCGTGCCGCTGGCACGGCAGCGGATGGCAAACGTCAGCGACTATGACTCGAAGCTGGAGACCATCGGCAAAGTGATCGAGAACGTGTCAACGAGGGTGCTACCCAACATGGAGCGGACGCTGCAGGTCTCCCCCAACATCACCACCTTCGTGGGCTCGTTCCTGAACATGGCGCGCCTCGAGGTGGGCGGCCTACAGGAGGCGGCCCACAGCATGGTCACCAGGGCGAGCCCCATCATCGCCGAGCGGGTGCAGTGCACCTTCAGCAGCGCGCGCCCGCGCGCTGGCCTCGGCCTCCTCGGCGCTGTCGCGGTGCTCGCGGCCACTTGGCTCCTCAACTGAGGGGCCCCCCTCTGCCGCTCCGCAGCTGCCCTTCACGTGCTCTCTGTGTGTCTGCACTCGTCGGGTGGCCGAGGCAGGGGCGCCAGGATGATAGGAGAATCGTGAGGCTCGCTTGGGGCGGTTGTGCCGTGCACCTGCTGTTTCTCCTCTCCCGCGGCTTCCTGCCGTATTCCCCCCCGCCTCCTATAATTACACTCGCCCTTCTCCCCGACTCGCAGGCTGTAGGCAGGCACTGTCCCTTCACTGCGATTGCTGCGCTGGACGGCGACCCCCCCGATCAGGCGTCGCAACCTCTTGCGTTTTGTGTCCAGTGCGTTTCATGGGCGCACAATTGCAGTGGACCAAATTGCTCAACATCGGTACCCAGACCCCTCCCACGGTCCATCCAAATCTCCTCCATCCTGGCACACGTTTGCATTCATATCTATTCCTGGTAAGTTAGTTTATTCATGTAGCAGCGTTTGTATACATTCATTCCGTCTATCCGTCCGAATCTCGTCCATCTTGTATTCCGTCTCGCCTTCTCGAGCTGCGTCCAGCCGTAGCGACCAAAATTACCTCCAGAGACACCAGACAGAACTCCACAACGACGAGGTCTTCGTCTCCGTCATGTGTTCCAGTTTGCAGATTTCCATTCCCCTCCTGTCCTTGCCGCCGTCGTGAAACTTGTCAGACTTCTTTTTTCGACCTGCCGCGGCCAAAAGGTGTTTCAACCCTTTCCCTGGGGACAGTTTTTGCCCCGGATTCATTCCTGATGGCCCCGCGGGGCTCGAGAGCTGTCCCGGGATGCCGAAACGAAGGAAGATCGCGAGGGTTGTGTGAAATATCCCGCTCAAAGCCCCGCTGACCTGAGGCCTTCACTAGGGGAAAGAGCAATGGCATAAACATAGAAACTCGGAGGTCCGCGCGGAGTTCCCGGATCCGCGCTGAACCCCGAGTTTGGATGTTCATGTCATTGTTCGTTTCCCTATTCACAGCCCCTCGCACCCGATCCCGCTGGCGGATTGAATTTAATTGTGGCCGTCCACTGACACGTGTTTCAGAAAATCACATCACCTCGCCCGCTATCCCCAGAGGCCAGCGCTCGCTTCTTCGTCCCCCTATTCTCGGGTGCTGCTAGAAGTGCCCCTGGCCCAAGGTGCCCCCAGCTTTGCGCTCCATTTTTGGGCCCTCTGGGGGCCCTCTGGGCCTCGTTGGGGGTGGTCCGGAGATCGTCTGGGCAACCCCGGGAATCCTGGGGGGCACTTCTAGCAACACCCGATGTTCACAGGCCCCTCGGGCCCGATCCTGAGGTCTGCTGCACCGACGAGTGCGAGGTGCTCCTGGCCAGCCTGGAGCGCGGCGTCGGCCAGCCCGACGCCTCCGTCGAGGACCCCGCGCTCAGCGCCTGCGTGCGGCCGCCGCGGCAGGCGCAGCCTGCTCCTCCTCCTCCTCCTCCTCCTCCTCCTCCTCCTCCTCCTCCGCCACCTCCTCCTCCTCCCCTTCCACCTCCTCCTCCTCCTCCTTTTCCTCCTCCCCCTCCTCCTCCGCCACCTCCTCCTTCTCCTCCTTCTCCTCCTCCACCTCCTCCTCTTCCTCCCCACCCTCCACCTCCTCCTCCTCCTCCTCCTCCTCCCCCTCCACCTCCTCCTCCTCCTCTCCCTCCTCCTCCTCTCCTCCTCCTCCTCCTCTCGCAGACTGTCCAGCGTCCCGAGGCAGCCGGAGCGAAGAGCTTTTCGAAGGCCTCGGCCTCCGTCGGAGCTCCAGAGACGGGGGTCGATGCAAGCGTTAAGTCGGCCCTGTCCCTCTACAGGAATAATAGTCTGAGGACGATGTTTCGACTACTTTGGATTTTGTTGGGCGTGTTTTTCGGCTATTATTTTGTTCGCCCAATATCCGCCTGTAGGGGGGCATGGCCGACCTAATGCAAGCGTGCGTCCGCCCGCTCGGCGGATCTTGCAGGATCCTGCGTGGTCAGGGATGCACTGGCCATTCGCTGGCGCGCAGGAACCTGTCGGACGGGGTTCGGACGAGGATGAATCCGTTGCAGAGCGTTCCGGAGCGCTCTCGAAGCGTTCCGGAACGCTCTGAGAATGCACCGGCGCCCGATCCCAGAGATTCTCGATTGCGAAGGTTTCACGGCTGGTGCCGCCGACCCTGAAGGGGGACAGCGACGACGACGGCGACGACGACGACGGCGGCGGCAGCGGCAACGACGACGACGCTGATGTGAGTCAGAGTCCTCAGGGATGCTGTTTTGGGTCTCTCCAGAGCGCTCTCGGAGGCCTCTGGGGGGCAGTTTGTTGGCATCTTGGGAGCATCTTGGGTGCCTCCTGGCAGCCTCTTGGGAGTCTCTTGGGGCTTCCTGGGGCTGTTGGGGCCTCTTGGGGCCTCCTGGGATTCTTTTGGGACCGAGGGCTCGAAATGTTCGTTCGGTTCCCCCGTCGTGGCGTCGTGTCAGACGGGACTAGGACGAGGATAAATCCGTTCCAGAGCGTTCCAGAGCGCTCTCGAAGCGTTACGGAACGCTCTGAGAATGCCGCGGCGCCCGATCTCAGAGATTCTCGATTTATCCTCCCCCGATTTTATCTTCGTCCTGGCTTCGTCTTAGTGCACTGTCCCTTGGCTAGCGCGCAGAATCCTGCAGAGCGAAGCCTGAGGTTTCGGCCTCCGCGGGCAGTCTTCGAGCCTCCGCGGGGCCGCCGAGAAACGACGCAGGAGGAGAAGCCAGCAGTGGGTCACCACCCACCAGACCACCCCAACCCACCCTGAAGGCCCCAATTTGGCCTCCATCCTCAGTGGTGGGGGGCGTCGGGGAACATTGAAAGAGTACATATGGATCCCGACCCCCCCAACCTGAAATTTGGGATCTTCGGGGTAGGTTGGGGTGGTCCTGTAGGCAGTCAGGAAAGGGTCAGGACTTCAGGACCCCCCCGCACTCAACAGGAACGAGGAAGCGGATGTCTGGGGATGGTCGCCCGCCTCTTCAAGCAGTGCCACCGAAATTGGGCGCTCCGGGTTGTCGCATCCGCGTTTGGGGGTGCATCGGCGGATCGCAGGGTGGTGGTTCGGTTGGGGGGCAGAGCGTGAATTACCTACCCCGCTTTCGCTTCCACGCAACACCAAGCCATACCACGCGCCTCCTCGTCAAGCGGCCTGACTAGTACAGGCCGCAATTTGGCATCATTTGGTATCTCTTGGAAGCGAGGGTGGTCAAAAGCGAGGTAGGTTTGTTTTCCCCCGATGGGGGGTAGGAGCGGGCTGCCCCTCGCGGGGCAAGGGGGGGAGGGGTCACGCCGGAGGGGGGGGGCGGGGCGGCGCGCGGGAGGGGTCTCGGGGGGCGGAACGGGGCGTCGGGTGGGTTGGCCCGTGCGTGTGCTGCTCAGACAGCTTGGGGTGCAGCCGAGCTGTTGGGAGAAAGGGGCCGCGTTGGTGCCGGACGGGCCCGGGGGCGATCTGGGGTTCCTTCCGCTTCCGGGTGATCCTTGGTTCCTTCCGGGGAGGAATGATGAGAGGGAGGAGGAGGAGGAGGAGGAGGAGGAGGAGGAGGAGGAGGAGGAGGAGGAGGACCAGCACGCATCCTGGAAGGGGGGATGCGCTGTCTTGGCTGCAAACGCCACGGAGGTGCAGGCCAGTGCTCTCGGGGCTGGATAGACCTCCTACGTTGACACGCCGATTAAGGAATTGGCCGTTCTCGTTCGCGAGGGGGCGTCGCGGCCGTCATTTCTGCGGGTCCAGGTCCGTCGGTTTCGGTCCCATTCCGTTTTCACTAAGGGGAGATTTACTGAAGGGAGGCTTGTCCACCGCCGACGGTGTTTTTTTCTCCGGCGCCCTTGGCGCACCTGGGCGGAGTTGAGGCCCCACACTGGGCTTCGCTCCTTGTCAGAGGCTCCGTAAGTCGAAGAAGTATCAATTGCATACGCATACGCTTCCAGAGTCCGCGCGGACCTCCGAAGGTTTACGCTATTCTGCAGCGCTGTCTTGCTCTAGTGTGGCAACATTTTGACACCGCAACCCTGTATCAAGCACTGTTGAAGCGCCCTGGCTTGCCTGTAGACCCACCAAATGATGTTCTAAGAGCCGTTTGCGGTCTGCACGAAATGTTCGGAGAACATCGGGTTTACGTTCTAAGAACATTGTTTTAGTTATTCGAGCACTCTAGGGTTCTAAGAATGTGTCGTGGTATGCCTACAGGAATGCCGGGACGGTCGGTCCCCGCTCAATTGTATTGGATAGGGAAGTGGCCGGAGGTTTGCAGCAGGGCGTTGCCCTTCTGTGCGGCACGTCGCATGGGAGATTGACAGCAGCGCGCGCCTGGCTTCTTGGTGGGAGGCCGCGACCGAGGCTGGAGGTTTGGGGATGTGCTGAGAGGCTTCCACGGCTGGATGGCCAGGACCGTTCCCCAGACAGGTCTGGAGGTCGGCTGTCGACCACCCAGCCTACACTTCGGTCGGGCATGTCCTCTTATTTTGACAGAACAATGACCACATAGTCCAGACATGTTCAAAAATAATTAAAAAGTAGTCGAAACGTCGTCTCCACATTGTCTATGACTATTCTCGCATATTTCTCCTGTGAGGGACAGGCCCGACTTAAGCCTACACTACCTCGCGTCGCGAAAAAGTCACGGCGGGAGGTTTTCGAACATGTTCTGGCGGGGCCTCACCCAGCCTGGAAGAGTTGGTCTCGGGGAAGGGGTCGAGACTTCGGGGGGTCTGTCTGGGATGTACCGCAGGTGGGGAAGCTCGGCGCTTCCCGTTCTGGTCCGATCAGGTTTCAAGCGCAGGCGTCTGTTAAATCAGCTAGTGCCACCCCCCTGTTCGGGGTGAGGTGCGTCGGCGTAGAGCTCTTCCCACGGTCACTAATCACTACGACCAGTAACCCGCCAGCTTTAGGGCGTCAAGGGACACCTCCTGCGCTGGCCAAGCTGCTCGACAATCCCATGAGGGCACACTGTCGTCGCTGTGTCGGGAATGGTTATTTTGACTGCCAGTGGCTCTCCTTCCGGGCCTGCCAGTGGTTCGGGACGTTCCGAGGCACGTGACCAACGGTTTATCTGTTGCAATTGTGGTGGGTCGACTCAGTGGCCGACGATTTAGATTGCCACATTTTGTCAAGCTCGTACTCCCAAGGGATGCGGGATCTTGACTGCGTTTCGTCGTGGCCTTGGGCCTAATTCTCGGCTGGGTGACCTGATGACAGGCCCGTGACAATGTCGCGACTTGACGCCACCCTTGCTGACCCCATGGAAATCCAACGTGTTACGTCCACCCACCTCGGGGTCCCCATCAGGTGAACGTGCCCCACAGCACGAGCAGAGAGTGTCTGCCCTCCTTGAACGTGTGAGGGTCAAGGATGCACCAACCTCCAGGCATAAATTGTTGTACCCTTGCCTGGCGTTGGTGTGATCACGTTCGGATCTTCCCAAGGAGCTGTCTGATAGTACCCTGGCGCGTTTTTGACGTGCGTATTTTCTCCCGGCGAGGACCACCGAGGAGCACCGTGGCTCATGTTGCGAAGCCGATGCACGCGCGAAACAAGACACGCGCATGGGGAATGGAGGTCCCAGCGATGGCAAGCTGTCCCTCCTCGCCGCCCTCCTGCCCCCCCCCATTGCACCCCCCCCCTGTCTCGCCTCCCTTGGTCCCCCTTTCCTCGAGGAAGAGCAGCTGCGTACACACGTAAACCTGTGGAGCTCCCCGCGGATCTCCTGGATCGGCGATGGAGCCCCCTAGCGGCGCCCCTGGCGCGCTCCGCGCGCACCGTAGCTCTGGACGCCCGAGATGGGCACGGAAAGAATGGGTACACTGCCCAACAGCAGTTCCTGTTCATCTTGAACAGGACTCGCTGTCCGCGCCGCCGCGGCCTGTGTCCATTTGAGACAGAAGGCCGCCTGCCCAACAGCGGCCGCTGTTGGTTTGGGACAACATTTGTTGTTGGGCATTGTACCCATTGTTTCGGTACCCATTTCGGGTGTCCAAAGTAGAGGACATCCAGCGCAGATCCACGACATCCGCATGGAACTCCGGCAGTTCCTGTTTTTGCCGTTCTGCGCCTCGTTCCACCCTCCCTCTCCTGTGCCCTGCCCAGACTGGCGTCCGCAGCAGCCGCTCCTAAGCCGCTTGGGTTCGAGATCTCGGCGCAAGGAGCCGAGAATAGAGGAGTCCAGAGGGGCGTCAGCACAGCTCGCTCGGCAGGTCGAGGCGATGTCGTCCGTGCTCGACAAGGCGTCTGGGCACAGGCCGAAGGGGGCGCTCGCCGTGCAGCAGCAGCAGCAGCAGCAGCAGCAGCAGCAGCGAGCTTGGGTCAGTCCACCCCTGACGATTCAGGAGGGGAGGAGAGTGAGGTTGAGGGCAGGGTGGTGAGGGGTCCACCCTTGACGGTTCAGGAGCGGAAGAGGGGGCTGGGCAGGGCGAGGAGTAACAGGGCAACCTGAGCGGAGAGGGAGGATGCGAAGGAGGATGCCAGGAGGGGAGGAGGGGTAGGAGGGGGAGAACGAGGAGGATCAGGTGGAATTGCAGGAGAGGGAGGGTGCACAATACGAGAAGGGCGAGCGGGGAAGTGAAAAAGGATGAGGAGGACGACCATCATACTGATGGGGTGGCGAAGGCAGAGGAGGAGGCGGCGGAGGAGGCTGACACTGAGACTGCTCTTGAGGCAGGTCAGGCCCAGCTAGGGCGGGGCTGAAATGACAAGAGGGGCGCGAGGCATTGCCTCGGGGCCCCCGGGCTGGCGGATGAGCAGCTTCCCCCCCCCAGGGGCAACGATGGGGTGGGGGAAGTCACACGGGTGAGCGCATCGACCTCGATTGGTGGATACATCGTCGACGCATCGTTTATACAAGGGATATGTTATTCCTCTTCTTATCTTTTTACAAGCCCGGGCGGGGGGAAATCCGTCACCCCCCCCCCAAAACCGGACTCCCGGGATCTGGGGCTTTGGGACCTTCCGGACGGTCCTCGAAGCGGCCCCCGGGCCTCGCTTGGCGTTTTGCCAAGCCTTCCCAGCACACTTAGGGCGATCAGGAGGGTCATCGGAGACGTCCCAGAGACTCCCAAGACAGCACAAGAGCGCTTCAAGAGTGACCGACGCGACCTCAAGATGGCCCAAGAGGCCTCCAGGACGGCCCCAAAGAGGGCTCCAAGAGCACTCCCAAGAAGGCCCCACGAGGCAAAAATCATGGATCCTCTATCGGCTTTCGGTGAAGGTTGGGGTTCTCCTCTTTTCGGCTTCCCGACGCTCCAAGACGGCGGTCTTCTAGGCGTCCGACGCCGCCTAGGAGGCTCCAAAATCGCCCCACAACCATCCGAAAAGGCTTCAAGCAATCCAAGAGAGCCCCAAAACGGCACAACACGGGTCCAAGATGGCCCTCAGAGAGCCCCATGGTGGCCTAAGATGGCTTAAAGACACCCTCCGAAGCATTCGAAATCGTGACCCGTTCGTTCAGGGATACCGCGGTTGGAGGCAGGGTGGCCCGAGGAAGCCCACAGGGGCCCCCAGAATACGCCCAGGACGCCTCCAGAAGGCCTTAAGAAAACCCGAAACAACTTTTCTGAGGCCCCCAGAGGCTCTCCATTGAGGAGCCTCCGCAAAAAAAGCTGAGGAGGATGGGGAGAATGCCCAGGGTATGGCGAAAATAAAGAAAAAGAAGCATGGAGGAAGGAAACCGAGTAACATTATCATAGCTGCGATGCCGGAAAAGGCAACAAGGAGTTATCGCTAAATTGTCGACTGGACCGTCCTGCTATTCCGCCTGCATGCCAAGCTTCAAGGACGAAGGTGCATGGCGCGAAGCGCCACTGCAATCTTGTACATATATATATATATATATATAAGTTTGTAGGTACATATGTATGTACCAATGTATTCACGTGTGTACGCATGCATGCATGTAAGTATGCGCGAATGCCTGCGTGCATGCATGCATGTAGATGTGACAGTGTGCACGCATGTACATATATATATACATATATATGTATAAATGCATGCAGGTATGTGTGTACGTATGTATGTATGTATGTATGTATGTATGTATGTATGTATGTATGTATGTGTGTAGGTGTGCATGCATGTAGGTGTACATGCATACATCCATCCATCCATACATACGCATGCATTCACACATACATACCCACACACATACATACCTATATACATGCACGCATACAAGCATACATGTATACATGTATGCATGCATACATACATCTATACATGCATACGCACATGCATACACACCAACATACATACATACATGCATACATCTATATATACATGCATGCATGCATGCATACCTACAGACTTACATACATACGTCACACGCTCAGACACACACACACACGCACACGTTCGTACATACATACATATTACCATACATACATACAAACATGCATGCATGCATGCATGCACCCATACAGACATGTATACACACGTGCATGCATTCACACACATACACCAATGCGTACATGCACTCAACCATACATTCATTCATCCTTGCGTACACATACACACACACGTGTTTACGCATACATGCATACATATATACAAACATGCATACACACATACATACATACATACCTACATACATACATGCATACATACATACATACACATTAAAGTATCAGTGTATTCATACATACATATACACATGCAGACTTACGTACATACACCATGCACACATACATACATATATACACATATACACATGTATACATACGTCCTTGCATGCTCACACGCACACACCATGGGGCGCTCTTCGATGACGATGTGTCGCCGACGCATGGGCGCCGCGTCGTTCCAGGTCCATGCATCCCCTCCCATGCCTGGCCCCGCCCCCCCCCTCATCGTTGCCCGCCCAGCCCCCGCGCGGGACGCGGGCTCCAGGCCCCTCGCGGCCCCGCGCCTCTCCAAACTCTTCCTGCGCCTGCGCCTGCGCGGCGCTCCTCCGGAGCGATCGCCGCCCCCGCGGGCGACGGGGCCCCGCGGAGCTCGGCGGCCGCCTTGGGGGGCCGGGGGCCACCGCTCCAGGCCGCGCCCGGCGGCCTCCCAGGTGCACCTGCGCTGGGGTCTGAGGAGGAGGCGGCGGCGGAGGAGGGGGAGGAGGGGGAGGAGGAGGAGGAGGAGGAGGAGGAGGAGGAGGAGGAGGAGGAGGAGGAGGAGGAGGAGGAGGAGGGGAAGGAGGAGGAGGAGGAGGAGGAGGAGGAGGAGGAGGAGGAGGAGGGGGAGGAGGAGTGGGAGGAGGAGGAGGAGGAGAAGGAGGAGGACGAGGAGGAGGAGGAGGACGAGGGAGAAGGAGGAGGAGGAGGAGGAGGAGGGGGTCAGGTGCCACCTCGAGGCTCGGGACCCCGCTTCCTCAGGACCCACCCGGCTCTCTGCGAGGGCTGCGGGCTGTCCCTGGGAGTCTGGGCGCGTGCGCCACGGCCAGCGCCCTCTGGCTGTCCCCTCCCGCCTGGCGACCGCAGTCGAGGAGCGGCGAGGCCAGGTGGCACGCGCTGCCCCGGCAGGGCCTCCCTGGGCGGCTCTGTTTCCGCGCGCTCCCGGCGCGCGCGCGCGGTCGGAGAGCCCCCGCGTCAGGCGGTGCTTGTCCTCCGCCGGGCCAGGGGCCTCCAGGCTCGGGCAAGCCTCCGCGAGCTCTCCCCGTCCCATGCCTCGGGTGCTGCGCCGTGGGCCCCGCAAGCTCGCGCCGAAGAGCACGTCTCGGCGGCCCGCGCACGCAGCCGCCATGCTGCTGCGGCCGCCGGAGCCTCCAGGGAGTATACACAGGATGTGATGGTGGAGGAGGAGGAGGAGGAGGAGGAGGAGGAGAAGGAGGAGGAGGAGGAGGAGGAGGAGGAGGAGGAGGAGGAGGGAAATGAAAGGGAGGCTACACAGGAGGAGGAGGAGGAGGAGGAGGAGGAGGAGGAGGAGGAGGAGAATTGGTACGGATGATCGTGTAGCTAGCAGCAAAGGGCAGGCGAAGGAGAGGGAGCAGCTGGGGGAGTGGCACCAGGGCGACGGGGACTAGTTAGGGACTAAGACCAGGAGGTGGCCAGTGTCAAGGAACGGGATGGGGTGGAGAAGTCGCACGTTTTGCACGAAGAAGGATGAGGAGGAGACGAAAGAAAGGGAGGAGGCGGAGGGAACGGAGAGCCACGTGTTTGGAAGAGGTGGAGGGGGGGGAAGAAGGACAACAGACAGATGGAGGCGAAAGGACAAGGCGAGGGAGCAGCCAGAGGAGCAGCCAGAGGTGGAGGAGGAGGAGGAGGAGGAGGAGGAGGAGGAGGAAGAGGAGGGCCAGCGGGACGAGGAGGAGGAGGAGGAGATCGGAGGAGGTGGAGGCAGGTGAAAATGACGAGGACGAGGGAGACGGAGGAGGAAGAGGAGAGAGGTGATGAAGATGGGGAAGGGATGGGAGAAGGATGGAATGGACAAGTCGACGACAATGACCACGACGACGACGACGACGACGACGACGACGACGACGACGACGACGACGACGACGACGACGACGACCCCGAGCCTTGGGCGCCGATCCCACGGAATCCTTCTCCTTCCTTTTCTCGTCCCCCTCGCCCTTTTTCCTGGCCTTGCCACTCCTGCTTGTCCTCTCTGCCCATCCTCCGCACCTCCCCTCGTGCTCCTTTATTTCCACGTCGCCCAGACATCTTGTCAGCTGCGGATGGACATTGAACGCTGCTGTCGTCCTGCCAATCCGCGGTTGCGTGTTCTTTCTGCTCTAGGCCGGCCTGTGCGCTGCTATCGCGATTCTTGGCTAAGCTGGCCCTTCGTCTAAGTGCCTTGTTGTCGCCCTGCGTCGTGTCTGATCACCTACTCGCGCGTGCCGGCGCTTCGGGGGCGGGCTCACGCACGCACTGGGCTTCGAAGGGGATTCTGCGATGCAGCACTTTAAACGGAGAGGGTTAAAGGCGATATGTAAATCGAGCATGCACCGCTGCCGTGCCTGGCTCAAGCCGGGCCCGGCCGAACATGTGATTGTGCCTCACCGAGGCGCACTACTCGCATCTGAGATCGGAAAAGACCTTTCTATTGAAGATGCCCCTTCTATCCTTTACTCCAGATCCCATGCTTCATCTTGCTCTCTTGCTCATGCGGTATGAGCCAAAGCCTGGGATATGGGAGCGCCTAAGGCGGAACATATATCTTGGCTTACCAGTGCGTTTTCGACTTGGTAGCGGAGCTGGCTACACTCTCGTGTGGCTGGCTCTCGCTCTAATACCCATCATCCACGGCACAACTTGGTGGACT